TATACATTATGGTTGAAATAATCAATGCAACACTGTATCACTATCGAGGATGAAATTTCATTGTATAGATTTAGAAATATTAATAAATCTGTTTATAATTTCAAAAACCCAATTATCCATCAAAGGCCCACTCTGACAGCAGCTTGAATTTTTTTTTTCCAAATTACTTCATAAATGGTATATAAATGTGCTTTTTTGTGATTTCCTGTTCTGAATATATACCTTACATTGGTGAGTTTTGATATTTCATACAGTGCAAAATCACGTCTAAAACCAATACACTGAAGCTTTTCTATATAAAAGTACACCGTTACTTTAGAGACAGGTTAGTACCAGTACATCTGTAAGAGTACATATAAACAAGTAAAGAGATTGATCTCACCCATGAGGACAGTGTCAGGTGACTGCCCCATGCACCTTTAACTCGTGTGTTAGCCTGCGGTATGACGGTGATTCCATGTTTAAACTTATACATATGCTGACAAATTCTGTTACTTAGATTATTGAATGTAAAGACTCTAAGAATTGTTATATTTCCACAAACACCCAACAGGACCTAAATTACAGAGGTATTCTTTAGGCCAAACAAATTATATTTTCCTGTTTCAAGTAACCCTACATACATTTATACCTTTTCAAAGAAACATTTTTAAAGTCAGCATCTCTCTCCTATATAAACAATATGACACTACTTGTTGAAATAAAATTTCTTACCTACTTACCTATCATAAATTTGGCGACCATATTACAGGATAAAACATATAATGTTTTGTTTGAACTTAAGGATATATATAAAATTTACAGGTGTAATATGGTTAAAGATATCAGAAACTTAAATTGATACTGGTTTCAACATGTTTTTTTTCATTAATTTTTAATTATTACAGTAAACTTTACAAATATTGTATAAACTACATTCATATATAAGTTGGGAAGAATTAGGGTCATGAACGGAAAAAGTCTGGAAATCAGGGGAAAAAAATTCAATTATAAAATATTAATATTCTAAACAATTTCATTTATGATATTTACAAATTATGTTGGTTTATGTTGCAAGAGAACAAAAATGTTCAAGTCATTAATCTTTTTTTTTTTTTTTTTTCGAAAAGGCATTAAAATTCAAGTGTTTTTCAGAGAAGAAGGTCAGGTTTTATGTGACCTACATTCTACAACAAATGATTCCCTGTTTATATGTGTATCAACGGTTCCTTTATGGCTTTGTTTCCTATCACAAGCTGTTTCTCTATTGCTGTCAGGAAGTAATTCAGTCCTAGTCAGACAGTGCTTCAACAGCTGATTGGAAGGTCCAAAGGGTCAGAAATACTTCGTAGGAAAAGGTGATATAACAATAGGATTAAAGGATATGACACTAGGATTAAAGGATATGACACTACGATTAAGGGATATCACACTAGGATTAAGGGATATGACACTTGGATTAAGGGATATCACACTAGGATTAAGGGATATCACACTAGGATTGACACTAGGATTAAGGGATATGATACTAGGATTAAAGGATATGACATAAGGATTAAAGGATATCATACTAGGTTTAAGGGATATGACACTAGGTTTAAGGGATATGACACTAGGATTAAGGGATATGACATTAGGATTAAGGGATATCATACTAGGTTTAAGGGATATCACACTAGGTTTAAGGGATATCATACTAGGTTTAAGGGATATGACACTAGGATTAAGGGATAGCACACTAGGATTAAGGGATAGCACACTAGGATTAAGGGATAGCACACTAAATTTAGGGATATGACATAAGGATTAAGGATTGTGACGATAGGATTAAAGGATATGATACTAGGTTTAAGGGATAAGGCAATCAGATTAGAGGTTATGTCACTAGGATTAAAGGATATGACACTGGGAATTTTCAAGTCTTTTAGCAGTGCTGAGGTTAGATATGTTATATAACAGTTGGTAGACACCCCTGATGAACTTTTAGACCCTGATGTTTGCTGTAAGCTGCATGCCACATTTCTTTCATTCTTCAAGATCATCAGATATATGATAATTATAGAATTTAATCAATATCAGGCTTAAGTGCACCTCCCCATCAAGATTTTAACATTTCATTCTTTTTGGACTTTCTTCTGTCACCTCCTAGGTTTAATGGTTAGACTCATCAATGACAAGACCAAATAAGATAAAATGGCAGGATGATGAAGTCTAATTATTACTTGACTCTACTTTTTCTAATCTTAAGTTGTATTAAATGGTACTATTCACTTAATGTGTGTTTGTTGTACAATATATCTGTATTATGCATAATCACTGAGTGAAAATAACCATCTCCATCTTACGACAAATGAGTCAGTCTTCCTGCCATCCTCAGTCACATCTATTGTAGTAAGAATTGAGGGAAGTTCTAGCCATTTTAGATAATAGACCACAGATCAAAAACTGAGAATTTTCAATGTTTTAATTTTAGAGCAAGTTAACAAAATTTTAGAATGTTTTGATATTTCCAAGCAAGGAATAGGCACTAAAAAATACATAGTAGGCATCACAGAATTGAGAAAAAATACATAAATATGACTGTATATGGCTTTAAAATATTTCTATCATCCCTTACCTATCCTTGTCAAGTTGAACCTCACAGCATGTAGTTGAAGTCAAAGCTTCAGAAGACAGAGTGTGATGGATTATGCCTCAGAGAGGAAATAGTTAGAACGAAATGTGGTCTGCACTTTAATTAGTCTCCATCTTACCAGAGGCATCGCCTACCTAGTGATGATGCCTATCACATACAGACAACACCTACCCAGTAATGTTGCCTATCACATACAGACATCACCTACCTAGTGATGATGCCTATCACATACAGACAACACCTACCTAGTGATGATGCCTATCACATACAGACATCACCTACCAAGTGATGATGCCTATCACATACAGACAACACCTACCTAGTGATGATGCCTATGACATAGAGACATCACCTACCTAGTGATGATGTCTATCACATACAGACATCACCTACCTAGTGATGATGCCTATCACATACAGACATCACCTACCTAGTGATGATGCCTATCACATACAGACAACACCTACCTAGTAATGTTGCCTATCACATACAGACATCACCTACCTAGTGATGATGCCTATCACATACAGCCATCACCTACCACATCTATCACATACAGACAACACCTACCTAGTGATGATGCCTATCACATACAGACATCACCTACCTAGTAATGTTGCCTATCACATACAGACAACACCTACCTAGTGATGATGCCTATCACATACAGACATCACCTACCTAGTGATGATGCCTATCACATACAGACAACACCTACCAAGTGATGATGCCTATCACATACAGACAACACCTACCTAGTGATGATGCCTATCACATACAGACATCACCTACCTAGTGATGATGCCTATCACATACAGACATCATCTACCTAGTAATGTTGCCTATCACATACAGACATCACCTACCCAGTAATGTTGCCTATCACATACAGACAACACCTACCTAGTGATGATGCCTATCACATACAGACAACACCTACCTAGTGATGATGCATATCACATACAGACAACACCTACCTAGTGATGATGCCTATCACATACAGACATCACCTACCTAGTGATGATGCCTATCACATACAGACATCACCTACCTAGTGATGATGTCTATCACATACAGACAACACCTACCTAGTGATGATGTCTATCACATACAGACAACACCTACCTAGTGATGATGCCTATCACATACAGACATCACCTACCTAGTGATGATGCCTATCACATACAGACATCACCTTCCACATCTATCACATACAGACAACACCTACCTAGTGATGATACCTATCACATACAGACATCACCTACCTAGTGATGATGCCTATCACATACAGACAACACCTAGACATCACATACAGACATCACCTACCTAGTGATGATGCCTATCACATACAGACATCACCTACCTAGTGATGATGCCTATCACATACAGACATCACCTACCTAGTGATGATGCCTATCACATACAGACAAAACCTACCTAGTGATGATGCCTATCACATACAGGCAACACCTACCAAGTGATGATGCCTATCACATACAGATTCGACTGACTTGTTAATATTAAAACTTTATTATTTAAATAGACATGAAAAATTGCTTTTAATATTGAACGTCTTTTACACAGTATAATTACTCATTTTCTTTGATGTTTTAATATTTCATATGTACGACACATAATTTCAAAACACTAAGGTTGCACTTAATTCAAAATTACAGAACAAGGTTCACCAAATGATCATCCCCCTTTATCAAAATTACAAACCAACGTTCACCTAAAGACCATCTCCTCATGTCAAAATTACAGAACAAGGTTCTCCAAAAGACCATCTCCTCATGTCAAAATTACAGACCAAGATTCACAAAAACACCATCTCCTCATGTCAAAATTACAGACCAAGATTCACAAAAACACCATCTCCTCATGTCAAAATTACAGACCAAGATTCACAAAAACACCATCTCCTCATGTCAAAATTACAGACCAAGATTCACAAAAACACCATCTCCTCATGTCAAAATTACAGACCAAGATTCACAAAAACAACATCTCCTCATGTCAAAATTACAGACCAAGATTCACAAAAACACCATCTCCTCATGTCAAAATTACAGACCAAGATTCACAAAAACACCATCTCCTCAAAAATTACAGACCAAGATTCACAAAAACACATCTCCTCATGTCAAAATTACAGACCAAGATTCACAAAAACACCATCTCCTCATGTCAAAATTACAGACCAAGATTCACAAAAACACCATCTCCTTATGTCAAAATTACAGACAAAGATCCACAAAAACATCAACTCCTCATGTCAAAATTACAGACCAAGATTCACAAAAACACCATCTCCTCATGTCAAAATTACAGGCCAAGGTCCAAAAAAACACATCTCCTGATGTCAAAATTACAGACCAAGACTCACCATTTATGGATCCTCTTCCAGTGTCAAGGTTATATGATGAGGTCAGAAGGGTATCACCATGACAACACAGACTGTCAGTCATGCCAAACTCATCTGAATGGTTCTTTAACTTGCTAACTTCACCTTCAAAAACAAAAGGTACAGGTTACTTTACAGTGACGTAAAAAAAATATCAAAATATTTCAAATATAAATAAAAACAATGTAAGAAGAGGCTTACAAAGATATCAAGGACATTTAATAGTGTCTTCAGTGATAACTAATATCTTTCACAAGTATGTCTAATATTTTAGTATCTTTCATGAATATGTAGCCCAGTGAAAGATACAAAAAGGAGCCACAAAGCATGGCATTATCCCCCGCACCCAGCTGTTTGTGTAAAATCCTATTATGATATATACTTACTGCTATAACAATTGGTGACATCATTCAATTATGCACCGCTACTATCATCTGAAGATCTAATAGAGTGAAAGCACTAGCGCAAAATATAGAGCCTTCTTTTGTCAATTATCAATTAAATTTCCTTGCATCTCCTCAACTTCAGCATTATATATATATATATCTTATATATCAACCTCATAGTAAGAGTTTATATCTTGATGTAGATCCAGTGTGTTTGACTGTTGATATTTGAATACAGCTTGGTATTGTATATGAACAGATTTATGCAACACTGTAAGTTCTTGATTAATACAAGAAGTCACAAGAAATTGAAAAATTGGATGGTAACAGAAAAATGATAAATAGTAAAATGTCCTCAATAAGAAAATGCACAACCAGGGTACTAACCTAATATATACAGAATGTTTTGTGGAGTTGAGTGGAATGCTTTCAAAGTTGTAGCCTTGAGAGTAGATATTACACTTATTTTGTGTTCATTTACTATGTTTCCATGGTAACATAAAATACATGAAATAGATGTTCAGATATCTGTAAATAATATGTCAATGGACAAAAAAAGAATCTGAATTTGTTTATCTGTAGCTGTTTTGTAACATGGAATTTGTAATATGAAACCAACTTCAAGTTACAAAACATTTGGTAGATATCAAAAAAATCTTAATGTGTATTTTCATAGCAATTTCGAAATATGAAATCAACTACACGTTGCAGAAATTCGCTACATATGAAAGAATCTTAATTTGTATTTTTGTAGCATTCTTGTAAAATGAAATCAACTACATGTTACAGAATCTTTATTCATCAGGATATAGTTTCATAGCTGTTTCAAAGTATTTCAAAATACTTAAATTTGTATTTTGGTAGTTTTACCTTTTTTCCAACTGAGAACCTTGATATTGGTGCCTTCATCCCCGTAATAAACAGTATCCTCGGCAACAGTCAGGCCTCTGATTGGTCGTTCAGTGAGGTTACAGCCTGGAGCTGGTTTGACATTTTCAGATGCAAACAAACAGGACAAGCATCCATCTTTAATATCAAACACTTTAATGAGTCCTTCTTCAGAACAGCAGTACACTCTATCACCATGGACCTGTGAAAGATTAATCATATTTTTTGACATTTACATGTATCATATTTTTTCCTGCAAGAAGTCTAGGCAGTTTCCACATAATTACTGACAAATTATTAGAATATATGACATATTAGAATATATAGCTTATTAGGACATAGCTACTAGATTAGCTGTTCTGTTTGCTTGCTTGCTTGGTCTATTGCCTTGTAAACAGCCAGCGTCTTTTGACACAGAGTCTCCCAATTGCAGCTGGTGGCTGCCTCAATGAACAACATATGAGAGGCCCATCACATGCCATTCAGAGCAATTAGGGTAAAGTGTCTTGCCGAAGAACACAACCACATCAAAATTAGTCCATTTCTCAGCTTCCTGAGAAACACAAACTGCCAAGAGTAGCCAGCAACAAACAACATTCCTCTAATCTTTATATGAGGTTATGAAGGCTTAAGAAGCACCATACTGAAATAGCATGTGTTGGTAAATCAGATAAGCAATAACAGATTCGGGTGGGCTTATTACCAGACATGGGCTTATTGACGGATATGGCATGTATTTCATTGATTTCTAACACTTTCTGTTCATATCACATGAACCATACACTGATACTTACAAATGAAAATTGTTTTTTACCAGCTAAGTTTTCTCTGACATGTGTAATTGAAGTATTTTTTTTTCCTGATTAGAAAGCTGAGAAACAGACCAGTTTGTGCCCTTTGGCTTAGGACTAGAGTTAGTCACTGATGTTATGAAAGCTATGTTGAACAGAAAAATGAAAAAAGCCTTGACTGCTTTGTATGACATGTGATGGGCCTTCCACTGATTGTGCAGTAACGAGACCACTGGCTACTCTAAGGAGACCCTGCCTCAAAATGACCCTGACTGTTGACGGGGAAAAAATCCAACAGGCAAACAATTCTAATTTAGTTGTAAATATTAGCTGTGTGCAACGAAAACAACTCCTATCAATTCCAAATAATTTTAGAGTTGAATCTTAGACTCTTTTGATTTATGTGAAATAAAAGTTACATACACTGTAACTATGTAGGAGGTCCTGCACTGTAAGATTTTCCAACTGTCAATGTTAGGGAGCTTGGAGATTTTACAAGTTCAATCCCACATATTTTCTGGTGTTTCAAAATGAAACACAACTACACAACACAACTATAGAGTCAACACAAGCACAATAAGGTAAATCCATAGAACTGGATTTACTTGTGATGTAAGATTAGACATGCCGGAGTTATCTACCTTTAGTCCAGTGACAGCTGAATCAAACTGTTTGGTGCTCTCCATGTTCTCACAGCTGCTGGCATTCCACAGTTCCACTTTTCCACCATCTACAATGTTTTACTGATTAGGTAGTTTTAATTACCTTTACATAAACCTGTCAGACATCAGTAAATTTGTTGGCAATAAATACAATTACTTGTGATTCTGTAATAATACCCATCACAGAGGTATACTTTCAAAATGGTTGTTCCATCATAAAGATTGGGTAATTATCAATTTAACTGATGTTATGAAAGCGATGTTGAACAGAAAAATGAAAAAAAATGTTTAAAATCTAAATGTTGTTTTCTTATGGCATATATAGGCCTAGTAAATGACACAGTTTTGCAGTCAAACATAAACATAAGACACTTTTTAATATTCAATAAATTCTTTAAGAATTAGGGAAAGATTCTCAACTTAAACCTGCAGAGGCCTGTCGAGATTTCCTTTATCTAAAATCACAACACTATAATTGTAGCTAATATCAGTTCAGATCTAATGAAGCTGATCCATACCTTTATCCATAAACCTCCGACAATATGAACAGAATTTCTGCTTCGGTCTGACTTACCTGATCCTGTGACAATTGCTCCAGCAGAAGAATGAAATGCTACCCTAGTGACAGGGTTGTAGGTGTAAATTGACCGCAGTGCTTGACCTGTGAAAGGAAGGTAAACTGAGTAAGTGATCTGGACTATATAACTGATGTATCATAAAACAGAACTTTTGTTGTTTTGAAGGAGTTCAATTTTTCTCTTTTTACAAGGTTGGAATAAAATTGTTTTTGAGACACTGAAGAGGCTTCACAAGTATAAAGATTAATTACCTCCCTTGATATATTTAAACACAGAGAAATCTCTTAAGATTTTACTTTTGAAATGCAAGGGTTTCCATATACAGAATAAGTTATGATTTCATGAAGACTTTAATTTCGTTCCAGGGATACAGCATCTAAAATGTGATCAGTAATTACCTCCCCTGATGACTGTTGAAGGCGGTATGATGACATCAAGTCCAGTAGACCATATTTTAAAAGAACAGTCCAGAGAGCCACTGATTACAATTCTCTCTCCTTCATCAACATCCACCGACTCACCTGGCAAAATAATGAATTTCAAAAGTTTGTAATTATAACATCTAAAAGTGTAAATCATGTGGTTCAGCCCAGGTATACCATCTCATCTCAAGTAACATGTATGAAAGAATAGGAAAAACACAGTATCCGGTAGAGTACCCATACCAGGAATTGAACCTGGATCTCTGACCTGATAATCCAGGCCCTACGTGTATAAAACATCTCAGAGAGCCACTGAGATTTCCTCTCTCCTTTCCATCCACCTGATATCTCCTCAAAAACGGCTTTATAAAATTTTCTAAGGAACAGCAAGAAGTCATTGTCTAGGATGTCCTGAAATTTCTTGACATACAAGATATTTTCAAGGAGATATTAGCTAAAGAAAATCATACCAGGAATTGAATCTGGATCTTGAGATGTTTTATACAAGTGGGGCCAGGACTCTACCATCTGAGCCATAGGAGCATGGTCTGCCAGTGGAGTAAGACTGAATTTAACACTAAGTTAAAGCCCCACAGACCTCCTCCTTTTACACTACTCCCTCCTGAGATTTCTTTAATCTGAGATTGAGACTATAAATACCACGACCCTTAGGATTCCTATGTGAAAGAATAGGGGAAGACAAGAATTGAAATTGAGTCTCCAGCGTGATGATCTACAACACTACCGAGTGGGCTAAAGAAGCACGCCCTATCAGCTGAGAAACTGTATTTCACACCATGTATAAACCACAGAACACTCTCCTTTTACAAATGTTTACCTATGATATTGCATCACATGTTTCCATGGAAATCAGCTATTGATTCTAAAATATGGCTTAAGACAGGGCAGTCAGATATGAAATAATCTGCCCATATGGGTGGGGTCATTACCAGGTATGAGCTTTATTGTCAGATAAATATGGTACATATGCAGGTTCAAGGAAATATATCTATTGACTACACGTACATGGTTGTCTGTCATAGAAGTGTTTGTAAAAATTGCTTACATGTATTTCCTTGCAAGTGACATCTACTTTTTAAACATCAGCCAAAGAAAATTGGTCTTTACTCACAAGCCTATGTCTGTTCCAAATTTTGGAATGAGGAAAAAAAATCTGTTTAAAAAAAGGGGGGGGAAAAAAATGACAATACATACAAACTTTGAGAGTATCGTCCCTGTTGAGGATGATAGCAGATGTAACAGTGCCAGTATGACCTCCATAACTGTGCAACTCTGTCAGGGTGTCAAGGTCCCACAGTTTCAAGGTGGTGTCTCGACTGTCAAAATAACACAAACTATATACATATTGTACAATGTAGTAAAAAGTTGTCACTGGTACATTAGAGTCTAATATTCGTTAAGTGCGAACATGTTGATAATGTTGAATCTACCTATCATGCAAGAATCACACAAATAACATGTATCTTCATAGGGTTTTAGTTTTCATTGACTTTATGTTTACAATTAATCAACTCTCTTTTATTTCAGTACAGTTTTCAGCTTATCTCCATAACTGATTATGTAAAATGATACCAATGATTTTCTTATTGTGATCGATAAAATGGAAACAAGAATCTTTACCTAGCAGACACAAGAAGTTTTCCTTCAGCGCAGACATCTGTAATTAGGTCACTGTGACCCTCCATTTCCACGACATCAAATCTACACTGACGCCACCGCTGAATAACTGCTTTCAGCTTAGCACAATCTGTGTTAAACCAATAAAACTTAAAATCAAAACAGAAAATTCAGACTGGGAAAAGATTTCTCAGAATAATATTCTTGCTTTGTAGTTCTTCACAAATTGTTGCTTTTTAGTTTCACTAAGTCAAAAAATAAATAAAAACTGACAGAAACAAAATGAATGAACAAACAAAAATATATTTTGTTTTTTATTTTCAAGTCTATCTGAAAATCAGTGTAGTATTTATTGCCAACTTTCACTTTTAACTATTTTTTAATCCAAACATTTTTTTATCTTCTATTTTTGAATTGAAACATACTGATATGATAATCGTTATTTGATTGGAAAAAGAGGTACACTCCAGATATTACAACAAAAGAAAATAAATGATACTGGCTGCGATTTCCATAAAGCCATGGTCAACTCGCCAATAAAAATCCCTCTAATTAAATTCTCTTTACTTCTGAAAACTTCAAGTAAGATCAATCAGCATTTCTTCTTTCTAATAATAATTTAATTGTTATAATACCAATGATTAAAGTTGCAAGAGTTATCTCCCTTCCTCAATTAGAGTCAGACTTTCAAAGTTATAGTTGACAACAAGCGTGGATGTTATCAAAAGGAGATGAACATAACAACTTTTAGTTAAGGGAACAATCAATTAATATTTCCTTGTTCCAATGATTAGAAATGAAAGAATTATGTACCTTTATCAATTAAATAAGACTTTCAGAGTGAAAGTTGACAACAAGTGTGGATGTTATCAAAAGGAGAAGAACGTATCAACTTTTAGTTAAGGAAACAATCTGCTGTATAATAAAAGAAATCTTTGTTGAAAAATAGATCTCAAACCTTTGATGTTCTGGTCATTTTTCTTGGTCTTCTTTTTTGTAAGAGAACTGCTAGATTTTGGTTTTGTCGATGATTCACCAGTGTTTGATACAGAATCTTCCTTTCTTTGGGATTCTTTAATGCTTTGCACAGGTTCTGGTGAGGTTGAAACCTCTAATGACCTAAAATTGCAAAATTGCAAAAATATGGAAACAAAATAATTTAATTTTAAGTAATTTAATGCATGCATGAGATGTGCTTTTAAAAGCCCAGCAATACTGCAAGATTATACAGGTAACTATCCAGTTGTATGACTGTCCAGCATGGACAAAACTGTTTTGCCAGAAAACATGCTTATGACTGTAGTTATCTTACAAAGATGATAATAACATTAAATCAGGGTTTATAATATACTGTCTGAACATCACAATATACTGTCTCATCATCATAATATACATACATATACTGTCTCATCATCATAATATACTGTCTGATCATCACAATATACTGTCTGATCATCTCAATATACTGTCTCATCATCATAATATACTGTCTGATCATCACAATATACTGTCTGATCATCACAATATACTGTCTCATCATCACAATATACTGTCTCATCATCACAATATACTGTCTGAACACCACAATATACCGTCTGATCACAATATACTGTCTGATCATCACAATATACTGTCTGATCATCACAATATACTGTCTCATCACCATAATATACTGTTTGAACATCACAATATACTGTCTGAACATCTCAATATACTGTCTCATCATCACAATATACTGTCTCATCATCACAATATACTGTCTGATCATCTCAATATACTGTCTGATCATCACAATATACTGTCTCATCATCACAATATACTGTCTCATCATCACAATATACCGTCTGATCACAATATACTGTCTGATCACAATATACCGTCTGAACATCACAATATACTGTCTGATCATCACAATATACTGTCTCATCATCACAATATACTGTCTGAACACCACAATATACTGTCTGATCATCACAATATACTGTCTCATCATCACAATATACTGTCTGAACATCACAATATACTGTCTCATCATCACAATATACTGTCTCATCATCACAATATACTGTCTCATCATCACAATATACTGTCTGATCATCACAATATACTGTCTGATCATCACAATATACTGTCTGAACATCTCAATATACTGTCTCATCATCACAATATACTGTCTCATCATCACAATATACTGTCTCATCATCACAATATACTGTCTGATCATCACAATATACTGTCTCATCATCACAATATACTGTTTGATCATCTCAATATACCGTCTGATCATCACAATATACCGTCTCATCATCACAATATACTGTCTCATCATCTCAATATACTGTCTCATCATCATAATATACTGTCTGAACATCACAATATACTGTCTGAACATCACAATATACTGTCTCATCATCACAATATACTGTCTGATCATCTCAATATACTGTCTGATCATCACAATATACTGTCTCATCATCACAATATACTGTCTCATCATCACAATATACGTTCTGATCATCACAATATACTGTCTGATCATCACAATATACTGTCTCATCATCACAATATACTGTTTGATATACTGTTTGATCATCTCAATATACCGTCTGATCATCACAATATACCGTCTCATCATCACAATATACTGTCTCATCATCTCAATATACTGTCTCATCATCATAATATACGTTCTGATCATCACAATATACTGTCTGATCATCTCAATATACTGTCTCATCATCACAATATACTGTCTGATCATCTCAATATACTGTCTCATCATCATAATATACGTTCTGATCATCACAATATACTGTCTCATCATCACAATATACTGTCTGATCATCACAATATACTGTCTGAACATCACAATATACTGTCTGATCACAATATACTGTCTGAACATCACAATATACTGTCTGATCACAATGTACTGTCTGATCATCACAATATACTGTCTCATCATCACAATATACTGTCTCATCATCACAATATACTGTCTGATCATCACAATATACTGTCTGAACATCACAATATACTGTCTGATCACAATATACTGTCTGAACATCACAATATACCGTCTGATCATCACAATATACTGTCTCATCATCACAATATACGTTCTGATCATCACAATATACTGTCTGAACATCACAATATACTGTCTGAACATCACAATATACTGTCTGATCATCACAATATACTGTCTGATCATCACAATATACTGTCTCATCATCACAATATACTGTCTGATCATCACAATATACTGTCTGAACATCACAATATACTGTCTGAACATCACAATATACTGTCTGATCACAATATACTGTCTGATCATCACAATATACTGTCTGATCTTCACAATATACGTTCTGATCATCACAATATACTGTCTGATCATCACAATATACTGTCTGATCATCACAATATACTGTCTCATCATCACAATATACTGTCTGATCATCTCAATATACTGTCTCATCATCACAATATACTGTCTCATCATCACAATATACTGTCTGATCATCACAATCACATCAATATACTGTCTGGGGCATCACAATATACACAAATACTGTCTCATTCTGATCATCACAATATACCGTCTGATCACAATATACTGTCTCATCATCACAATATACTGTCTCAATTTCGTTCACCAATAAACAAAGGGGCCAGCACAAAAATTCTGATTCAAAGGTTGTACTAAAGACACACAAATGAATAGTACCTTTAACCCAAATTTAAATAAGATACAGTAGAGCCAAACAATGAATTAGACTACAGCTGTTTCATCCTTCTAGGTCTCGTCAGTGATGCTACATCATACAGCTGTTTCATCCTTGTAGGACTCGTCAGTGATGCTACATCATACAGCTGTTTCATCCTTCTAGGACTCGTCAGTGATGCTACATCATACACCTGTTTCGTCCTTGTAGGACTCGTCAGTGATGCTACATCATACACCTGTTTTGTCCTTCTAGGACTCGTCAGTGATGCTACATCATACAGCTGTTTTGTCCTTCTAGGACTCGTCAGTGATGCTACATCATACAGCTGATTCATCCTTCTAGGACTCGTCAATAATGCTAAGGGCCTAAATTTTAAATCTCGGAGGCAAATGACAAAAATTCAAAAATATTGATTGAGATGTGCGCTAGCCCCATAATTCTGTAAATTTTGTAAATTCCATAGATCTGATAATTTTAGAGGATATATTAAAGTACCTACATGTTTTTATTCTGAACCATGTCAAAATCAAAATATACAGGCTCATGAAGGATGAAGAAATAGTATTGGTAACAACAATACATACGGGTGGGTTCAGTGCATGATATTACCTTAAGTTTGTGTCTGCAGACTCAGGTGTAACTATATGTACTCCTTTTTTAATAGCACTTTCAGCTGGCATATCAATCTCCTCCACATCAATTTGTTCAAAGTTTTCTTCATCTTCTTGTTCAATCACTGTAACCTCCACATTACCGATATCCATTTCAGAAAAGGAAGCTGAAAAATCATCTGTTGCTATGGAGCTTGTATTCTGACCTTGACTGCTGAACTCTGACCTTGTAGATTCTGTGATGCTTCCTTCAAACTCAGGTTCATTTTGAGTGGCTAACAATTTCAGCAGGGATTCTCTGATTTTATCTTTTTTGTCAATCTGAAAAAGAAAAACATCAATAACAATTTTGTAAACAGCCCAAAATAAATAACACAATTAACGAAGGAAACAGCAGCAAGAAAATTTGTAATCAGGATTTTTTTTGTAAGGAAATAATGTACACTTTTATAATTGTCTGGTATCCATAATAGTGTAATGGGTAATATATTACTCCTAACTACAAGAATGTAACAATACTAGAGGTCATTATTTATTTCAATGCCCCTGAAAGGATTTGAACTAGGGACCTCTGGTTTACTAATCTGATGCTCAACTGATCATGCTAAAGAGAAATTCTCTCAAGCTGACTATACTGGGTATATTGTGTATGTAACAGAGGATTCAAACCCAGGACCTCTGGTTTACTAATTTGATGCTAAATCGATCGAGCTAAAGAGAAGTTCTCTCGAACTAACTATATTGTGTAAAACATGAATGTAACAGAGGATTCAAACCCAGGACCTCTGGTTTAGAAGTCTGATGCTCAGTCGATTGAGCTAAAGAGAGGTTCTCTCTAGCCGAGCGGTCTATTGCAGCTGTAGTATTTACTGGAGTTACATACTCCTCCTCCAGGAAAGAAGTTGTACACATATCTATGACAACACTGTACTAATACCTAAAATGTTGTTTTCAGTAAAAGATATCTTTCAATATTGACAAAAATGACAAAACGACATGTGAATGCTGTATGTGTCCTAAAAATAAGCTACTGTATTTTCGGAGTATAAGCTGACACATTTTTCCTCAGCTGTCAGGCGTGCGGTTGATATACCTGCGCAGTTTATATAAGGACAAAAAAAACAGCACAATGAAAAAAAAATGAAGAGTATCGTCTGAACATCGATTCTGGTCCATTATGTATTTCATAACAGCAATTCTGTCCAGGCGTAACACACACACTGTTCACCTGTGTGACCTCACATGTCGCTGTAACATGTCAAACTTCCAGAGAAAATAAAAAATTGTGATTTAAACCGAGGTATAAATTCAGCATCCTCGATACTCAAGTGGTTATGATCACTATCGATCTCTGCACTCCGCGAACCTTTCATGGCAAAATAGAAGGTACAAGCAAAGTGATTGGTCTAGAGCAGGCTTCAGGAGAAAAATCTGACCAATCACAGACTGATCATCCATCCAACATCCAACAGCATACCATTATGCAACCTCAAGATTCATTTCATGTACATCAAAGTATCCAACAGGCCTTTTTGTCTGATCAACAAGGTGTACATTGAACATGGAACCTTCAAGCTTGCCATGAAATGTTCCAGGGGTGCAGAGAGATATAGTAAACAAAACCTCTGGAGTATGAAGGATATAAATTCAGGTTAACAGTAATAAAAATAAAATGTTGTAATGATCAATGACATCACCCTCGCAATAACTGCTCCCAAAATTAGGACATAATAGCATGAACAGAGACGAGTTGTCAGGCTTTGAGATGAGAAAATGTATTCAGAAAGGTGTTACCATTGTTTAAACACATAGCAAAAAGATATTTTTATAAAATTGTTGTAAATTTTTAACTCTATTTAAAACTGTCATGCAGCGATATCTCTACATATGACTCCCAAGTCCTGTACTCATAGAATTTTGATGGGATTGATAGAACTTCATTAAATACTTTTATTTTTACATTGTGGGATCTGTTGTTTTAACAATAAAGTTGAAAAAGACTCATGAAAATAAAGTGTAGATTGATCTTTGAAAGGACCAAAACTCATATCTCAGATATGATTATGCAACTCTTATTTACCCATTCATGAAAACTGCCATGTCACAGCATCATCACTGCATCATGTTTACTTTTGATGCTGGACACATTAGTAATAGGCCCAGGTGCATGTGACATTAGCAGCTATGATGAGAAAATAAATAATTAACCACAATCAACATTTCAACAGGCAATTTCAGGAACCTCTTTTGACTCAAAATGATCCACCGGAACACAAGTAAACTTGATTCTTTTCACTATACTGTGCATTGTATATACGTTGAATCTAACGGATTTTTACCAAAAATCAATTTCTAAATGACTTAGTTCTGTAATCATAATTAAATTTTGTGATTTCATTAAGCCATAATATTTTTAAGTTGTGCTATGTTCATTAGCTCACTGTGATAATGTTTATGCTGATACCATGTCTATTACATCATGCATGTTTCCTTTCATTCCTTTCAATATTAATTCTGTAATTTTGTTCTTTATGTTTATTTTTATATATTTGTCGTTATGATAGCTCTTCCGGGTTAATGTCATGTTGTATTGTATAGGAGAGAAAATAATTTTTTTGTATCTTGTGGCAGTGCATATAAATGTAAACTAGGGCCTTTATTGTTTCAAGTCCAGTTTTACCTACTTGATATAGAAACAATATAAAGTACAAACATGGAAGTCTTATAATCACGTCGAATATTTTTTTCAATAATTAGAGTGTTAAACGTGAAAAAACGAAAGTGATACTGTAATATTGACACGTTTTACAAACCGGTTGGTTTTCTTACGGGTATTAAATGATTTGTATTGAAAAATAACACGGTTGACATTTTTCAAACAATGCTATATACTTTATAGTACTCTTCATCCGTCAATTCCCTGTCGATTCTCTCCAAGTTTTCAATTTGCCGAAGTTTCTTTCTCAACTTTCGTATTTCCAATGCCGTTGAAGTTCTTGCCGCAGCCATTGCTGCTGTTTTTTTCTCGGAATCTCTCTTGATTTGCCAACATATTTTGATCCGAAAGTCACAGGAAGTTAAGGGAATCCCCACAAGAGGGCGCAATTAAGGGGAAAGTTCTGTTGACAAAACACCCATCACGAGGAAATACATAAGCGTTTTACATCAAATTGGAAACATTATCAACTGTGATGATCCACCCAGATGAGTTTATTTAGAAAGCGCGGTAAATATTGTGAGATCAGAGTGAGAGAACGATTATTTGTGATTTAAGTAATGGAAATTAAGTCAGATGAAATGGGCAGGGACACCCACTTTCAACAATTTCACTTTCAGCAATTGAATATTTTGTTTAAAATGGCTCATCCATATAGGCCTTTTAAAAGATGAGCCAGAGCATCGTTGAGAGGATACACCGAAATAATCGCGAAAAAATTCACCCTCTCAGTTTAACAGTTGGGTGGTGTATTGTGTAAAACACAGTTCAAACGTTTTTATATTATTTCATAATTTTTTTTCAGGAAGATACACTTGTGCCTGTTATGGGTTCATTATTTGCTTGTCGTTTCATAATTCTTCCAGATTATTAATTAGGGAAATGAAAAGCTCTAAATGGTATTATGTTTCTCTCAAAAATTCTGACAAATCATGTATGATAGCCGAAGGGTTCTATATATATTCACAAAAATATTTTTGTCTTTGATATCGATGGGAACAAAGACAAAAATAAGATGAAATCATAGACAGGGAAGCAAAACCCTTCAGATCAAAATATACATATATCTACAGGATGTTCAATATGAAAATATTTTAGAATCTACTGAACCTTCCATCTTTGTTCTATTTTTAGTTCCTATTGTTGTCTATCTTATCTACCTGTGCCTCTGTGATGTAGTTAATGTAGAAGGGTCTATTGTCGACCGATAAAAAGTGAAGTTCATTTTCATAACAAAAATAATACTAACAGAGAAAAGTGTATCTCAATAAGTCCATCAGAAAATTACTCGGCCTTACAATTTTAAAGATGGTTTCCTTAATATTACGGGTCCAAAGTGATATACAATTTAGGATGGTATTTCAGTTGTAAATAGTTTAAAAACATGCATTTTATTCCGCAAATATCAAAAGCTAACAAATTATTTGTTACAAAAGTTCATAAATTCGAAAGTTATTAAAACTTTCTCATACTCTTTATTTGGAATGGTGTACTTTTTGCAAGACAAATTGTTTATAAAAACAGCAAGGCTAGTTATCCTGAATCCAGCGTTACCAAGAGATATAGAAAATTACTCCTTATATAATCATCACTCAGTATTATACATCACTGGAAACATTTTATTTTTATTTTTTTTCATAAGTTGTAGGTTAAAATGTGAAGTTAAGTTCCATTTATTTTTCTACATTATATGTAAATTTACTTTCAAATTTGAGTTGAGAAATTCTGAGGAGAACAACATGTAGGATTCAGTGTTGTTGATTCTTTAAACTTGTATGTTTTACTTTATTTTGGCATCCATATTAGGATTCCAGGTCCCACTGAATTTCAAAAGTTTGTGATTATAACATCTAAAAGTGTAAATCATGTGGTTCAGCCCAGGTATACCATCTCATCTCAAGTAACATGTATGAAAGAATAGGAAAAACACAGTATCCGGTAGAGTACCCATACCAGGAATTGAATCTGGATCTCTGACCTGATAATCCAGGCCCCACTTGTATAAAACATCTCAACTCAAAAATCGGGCTTGTATAAAATTATCTCATGGAACAGGAGGAAGTCATTGGCTAGGATGTCCTGAAATTCCTTGAGGAATTTTCATACAAGATATTTTCAAGGAGATATTAGCTGAGGAAAATTTGGGCTTGAGGAAATCTTAAATTGAGATGTTTTATACAAGTGGGGCCAGTTCACATATAATGTACATCTCAAATATTCTAGTTTGCCATCAGTTTTATCCTGTCCTCGTCACTTTTGGATACAAATTCCATCAAAGGTACATATACAGATGTACATCAGTTTGCTCATAATTCACCTTTTACATATATGTACAATTTAATCAATTGTAGGTCCTACCTCAGAAGATGTGGCACGTGAGAATCAAATTAAGAGGACCATTACAAACGAGCTGTCCTCATCAATACGAACCCTCCAAAGGGAGCATCACCGCAAAGATGAAGTCATCACAAGGTATCAATCCAACAATAAGCCATGTCTGATAATAAGCCCATCATAAAAATTGCTGTCCAGAAGATCTATTTTATGTCCCACAATAAGCCCACCCTGTGACTCTGTTATTATTTTAAGTCAGAATTTGAATGTGTGACCTCCTTGGCTTATTGTATTATGGGATATTGTAAGTGGAATATCATCTAATGTACCACAGCTACTGGTTACTTTTTATTGTTATATAGAAGTCAACTTTTATGACATTAATTGTGACCAATCCCTGTGGTAAAACCATTAGGTAATTCATATAGGGGGTTATATGTTTGAAAAACCTGACTTTCTGTAAAATTTCATTTGTCTGTTGAAATACATACTTTAATGAAATTCTTGTGTTAATAATTCTAAAATGATATTGTTTGATAAACTGTATAAAGTGGTCAGATTTACTATTGCAATAAGGTTTTCATATACATACTTATACTTATAATTATTAGCTCATTTTTCTCTGGTTCTACACCAGGCATCTGTCAATCAAAGTGTCCAATATCTGGCATAGGGGGCAGAGAAATATCTGACTTCTTTTATTAGCCTGTGAAATGATAATGAGAAATTCATTATAATATTCTATGCTGTAGATATCGTATAGTATTAAATTGCATATGTATGCATCTTTGTGGCACGATATACATATTTGTATTTTAAATCAATCAATATTGTTTAGGCTATTGTATATGAGATGAATATTTCAGGATCAATATTTTGTTTAAGTTAAGCTCCCTGATACAGTTTGATGATATATACATGTACCTTTCAATCCATCAAATTCCATTATGAATGCTACTATTTATTGTGTATTTAGAACTATGAATGAACATGACAAGTATGTATAGAAAAAAATCAATATATTTACAGAAGTCTTTTGTTTCAATCCAGTATGTTAATATATGACTTGTGTCAGTATGACAGAACTAAGTACATGCTACGTTATTTATAAACTGAAAAATGAGAAAGGTACTTGTATGAACCTGAACTACAGAGTGTAAACAACAGATAATATATGTCAGAGAGCGTGTGACAAGGGAAAGCACTCCAGCGTGGGGACAGCAAATTGTATCATAGGATGAAATATTTAATGAGATCTTCTTTTTAAAAAAATTTCAGCATAAGTTTGATTAATATATGAATGCAAATGATCGTATTATAACCATTTTATGAATAATGAACAACTTGTTTAACCTTTTTATTATTTTCCTTTTTAGTACGGATAAGGCAAACGCTGTGTGTAATATATTAGAAGCCATTTTTCTACACAATCTAAAGAATTCAGTTTCTAAAAAGGTAAGTGTGTGTAATATATTAGAAGCCATTTTTCTACACAATCTAAAGAATTCAGTTTCTAAAAAGGTAAGTGTGTGTAATATATTAGAAGCCATTTTTCTACACAATCTAAAGAATTCAGTTTCTAAAAAGGTAAGTGTGTGTAATATATTAGAAGCTATTTTTCTACACAATCTAAAGAATTCAGTTTCTAAAAAGGTAAGTGTGAATCTTAAAACACGATATCTAAATGATAGGTTTTTGTCAATGGTTATTTTCAACGTAACATTATCCATGATAGTTTGATCATCTTGAAGGTAAAATGTTTTAAAGTAATGGTATGTCAAATTTCTGCCACTCCAAGAAAGGGATGTCCCTTTCATGTAATAGTAATACTGCCAAAATTACAAACATCGTAAAAAATATTGTAATTTTTGTAATAATAGTAAGCAAATTTACGGTTATTCAATGAATTTATAGTATTTTGTGAATGTAATTATCAGTAATTTTATAAAAAAAAAAATAATGATTAAAATTCTATTTTTTTATCTTGGTATATTTCCTTACAATACATGTGTATATAGAAATGAATGTTTACAGAATTGCATTATTTTCAGTTTGCAAGTTATATGGGTCTTACTCAGACTGGAGAGAATGCGGATACTTCAATTGTGAGTACATGTGAAGAGGAAATCAAATGGATTTTTTATTTGAAGGATTTTGATTATTGTATAATGGAAGTCAGATATATCTTATATGCATGTGAAGCATGTTATATTATTTACTGGAAATATATTAGATAAGAGTGAAGTGACACTATTGGACAAAGAAATTCTGAAAAGTTATCACTGATTACCTTTGGAAAATACTGATATCAGATGTGAAATATATTCAGGGCTCTCGATCTGCCAGATTTGGGGCCGATATTTGGCCCCATTCCCAAAGCAAGATAGTATCTTTTTTTCCCAATTTAGACCCCAAGTTTTCCCAATTCTAAGGAAAACACTGCTATTTTTCCAAATTCTAAGGGCCCAGTCCCAAAATGGGAGGTGAGAGCCCTGATATTACTCTGTATGGATAAAAACTTGGCAAATTAAATACTGATATCTTATTTGGAAGATATTACATAAAGAGAACTCACTTCTTTGTTGATGATATATACATCATGTATATCAAAAGGTCTCAATCCTTGGGATGAGATTTTTCAATATCTAATCATAAGTTGAAACAAGCCTGAGATTACACATTGAGAATGAGATGCAATTTCTACTCTATACTCTCAAAGTAGGGGTATATAACATATTTTCTTAAGATAGTTAAAGAATATAAAGACAGATTCACTGATGTGTGTGTTTTCCTTATAAGGTGTCATCTGGTACAGCACATCTTATCAAATATATGTTTGAAATCATGATTATTGGAAATTTGTATGTTATTCTTTACATATTTTGAAGCATATATTCATGTATTTATATATCATATTGCATTATTTTTTTTTCTGCAGAGTTTCTGGCAGTTTGCTGTGAAGTTCACACACAGTGATGTCTCAGCCCAGCTGAAGAGGCTTGGTCAGGTCACAACAGAAATCGGACTCTGTCGGGTAACTTTCAACATTTAGGAATTGGAGACCTTACATATTTATCAGCTAATGATACCATATCTGGTGATAAGTCTATCCATAATTTCAAGTCAGTGTTATTTTACTCACTGTTATAATCTCTTCTACTTACTGTGGGTAAAAGTTGGTATGCTGTCTCCCTTGGCTATTACAAGTATATTTATGTATGTATGGGTGGTCAGGTGGCACCGTGGTAACTCACCATTCACCTAGTTGTTCGGGGTTCGATTCCTGGAATGGACGTGAAAAGGTATGGGGGTCACCTGCCCAACCACATTGGTTTTCCTTGGGTACTCTGGTTTCCTCCGACAGGAAGACCCCTCTCATGCTTCCATCCTGGTCAACAAAAGTGATTAATATAAGTTGAAAAAACTTTTTTTCATAATTGTTGTTAGATAAATAAAGTGTATTAGCATTGGCTATTACAGGTATGCAGTACTGTGTCTTACCTGAATAGTGGAAAGAAATCAATATGCGTTTTTTTACCATTCATTGGCGTATATATAAATATATACAATGTAACTCGGGTATATTTATGTATGAGTAACCATTTTTATCTTATTCTCTATTAAAAGGTGCTATTCTCTTGTACATCTTTTTCACTATCCTTTGCAATTGTAGATGGTAAACAATACTGGTGGACTTATGTCACGAGGTTAATTCATTTGAATAGTGACACGATTCACAATTTACCAATATACTCAATGTTCTTATGAAATTATCAGATATGTGAACCTAGTACACTTTCCTACCAAGATTTTGACCTTTCTTTATAAGTAAATAACACATCTTTCTTTAAAAATTAATTTCTTATTTATTTTCTTGTTTATCTATTTATTCATTTTTTCGATTGATATATTAGGCTTGGATCCGTATGGCTCTGAATGACTGTCTGATGGAGAGTTACGTTGATGCGATGTTAGCTGATAAGAAAACACTAGAGTAAGTACTTATTCTGTGTCACTGTTGTTCTTGTTAGATCAGCTGACAAAATTAGTCTGTTGTTCATCAACTCAGATTTTTTACGAAATATATGAAATGGTAGTATTGTACAACAACACTGGTGTTCTTCTTGTTTTCCGACGACATGGGCGTGACAAAACTTGGCCAAAAATCACTTAAGAAAAAGAAACTGAAACAAGCACTGGCTCTATTTTCTATAGAAATTATATTTTTGCCTTTGAAATATTATCTGAAGTCAATGTAATTTTTAATTTTTTATCTAATATAAATGGTCTGTAGGATATGATTCTTAGAAAAAATTGTTTAGAAAAACATAAAACATATGAAGAATATATAACTTTAATTTCTATAGTGTTTCGCAATGTCTTGTTATTATTGTTGTTTCAGGACATTTTATCATCGAACAGCGTACCTTCGTGATCATGAACAACCAGAGATATTCAAATCGTATCTTAAAGGTGGGTATGCTATACAAATAAAAATTAAGTACATGTATTTTCTGCAGTGATCAATTAAATGCTTCATTCACTGTTTGTACTCTTGCCGAAGGAAGTATTGGTCTTCAGCAAAAAGCTTTTGACAATTTTTTTTTTTTTTTTTATGACTGATGACACATAAATAATATCCTTTGACCTAAAAATGTCATGATGACAACTATTTCATGGAAATTCTTGATGTGGTAAATTATTGGATTTTTGTATATTCTAACATTGTCCTGTGCTATTTTAAAACTGATAATTGATACTTCATTTGATGTCTTCATTTTAAAAGCAATTAATATTGAATTTCAGGTTTGATGTCATTGGAATTCAAACTGTCATACAACTCTCGAGTGTTGAACAGCTGGTCTAAATCTCCACTGGTCTTAGCAGGACTTCTACAGCCAGACAACACCCCTCTACCTGTGATATCTTCAGGTATATTTATTTGAAGTCTGTGTATGGGGAGATAATTCACCTCCATAACGTATTACAGGTCCTGACAGCAGGTAAAATTGTTATCTTTACACAGAAACGTTGCAAAGCTAAAATATAACTTTAACATTAAACTCTACTCTTTTACATGCCCTGGAAATTAAATCGAAGATGCTTTTAAAAGAAATTTTGATGGATATGAAATTATGCATGTTATCTTTGGCTGTGTCTATACACAAAGTACTAAGTAACTTGGGATCATTTGAAATAAAAAATGAAATTAAAAAATGTTATAACAAAATAAAATTGATGAAGAAAACCAAAGTCTGATCCAAGACCTTTATGAAAAATATGTCCCTTTTGCAAAATATGAACCACTGGATAAAAGCAGCTGTATCATTGATGTTTTCAGTTTTTTGATTTTGACAATGTACCAAGATCAGGCCTCTTGTTTCAAACAATACTGAATTTGTTGAAGTGGTATTATTTTCACAAAATTGTATTTGGTCAAATAATTTTCACAGAAGTTTTTTTCTTAACCTGCAAATTCACATGTCAATGAAACATGAAACATACAAAATAGCAATATTCTGAGAAACCGTGAAATTTAATCTGGAGAGAGAAAAAAAAATATATATATATGATGTATATATATTATGTGTGTGCTTTTATGTTGTTTGGATTTAGAACAAAAAGAGAACAGCCCTGATGAGAAATACTATGATGGGGAGGTTTCTAATGGCCTTGAAACTGTTGATGTGAGAAGTTTAAGAACGAGGTCAAGAGGAAGTAGCTCTGAAAGTGAGTCAAGGGCGTTTAAAGGTCATAAGGTGAAAAAGTCTCAGAAAAAAAATCAAGATTCTTCCTGTGATTCTGATAACAAAACATTAGCTTTAAGCTCTGAACTCACTCGCAGCGATGTGGAAAAAATTAGAAATATGGGCAGGACATCATCTCAAGATACAGGAATGTCTGAGTGTTCAAGTTCTAGTCATATTTCCTGTCCAGATCCTGTGAAATACAACAAGAGTCCAGTGTCCTACATTGAAAATGAAAAAGAAAACATGTTCAGTTTAACAGAAGATAACGATATTGTTGAGTCGCAGAATAGGGAATCAGCTGTTTGTGAGAATTTTACAACAAAACCAGAAGAGACAGCAAAGTTTAAAATTGGAAATTCTCCAGAAATTAATAATATAGACTACGATGCCATAAATGCAAGAATTCTTGATGATATTTTGAATGAAAGTGACGAAGAAAGTACAAAAATTGAAGCTTCCAACTATTTCCAGCAATCAGGACTTCCCGACTTATCAGTTACATCTCTGAATACAGATATTTCACCTGCTTCAAAGTCTTTATCTTCAACACCAGATTTTGATCGAGTATCTGTTTCTCCGATTAGTCCTTCGGAAACACGGACAAAAACTTCTAAAGTGAAAGGAAAGATGCGCAGACTTAAACCAAATTTAAGTCCTCCTCAAAAATCTTCTGTGGCACCAGAATTGTCACCTGCTGTGGCAGTTAGTATAGAAACAGCAGGCGCAATGTCAAGAAGGGGGAGATTATCCATGCCTGACATTCGTAATGTAGCCATGTCGGAACCACGGAACAGGTTAGGTGTTATTGATGCTCAATCAGAGCCTGACATTCCAGGACAGTTAAATGAGGAAAATGACCATGATTCTCAGGTAGGCTCACCATATGTTGGTAACAGTCTTGGTGCTAAAAGTGGATGGTCATCCTCATTTGACCTTGAGGCTCAGGACACTGTTCAGCCCCTACCGCCACCCAGGGCCAGTGAAACAATGACCATAGGACGACCCAAATGTAAGTACCGTTAAAAAATCAACCTATTTATTTGATGAGGAAACTTTTAAATTTTCAACCAATCAGAGTGGTGCTTTCTTTTAATTGCATAGACAAAGTAAGCAAAAGTTGTTTAGTTTCTGTTTTCATGGAATCTGTGATCCTGTATTCAATAACAGTTTTGCAAGCATTTCTTTGCAGATAAAGTTAAAAAATTATAGAAAACATAGCAATGACATTTGTACATTCTAAATCTAAAATAGAAATGATAGGAAATGTAATAATTCTTTTGTATCAAACTATAATGTAATATATAAATCTATTTTGACCTTTGGTTTAGACGATGAAATGATCCTCAAGCTCGCCAACTCACAGATTAAATTGTGACGAAACAGTATGGAGACCATCAATATAGAATCGAAATGACTTCATGTTTAACACAGAAATGTCTGTTTTCCACAATATTTGTCTGAATAATTCATCACATCTTACAATTTTAAAGAAATTTGAAACTCACTTCCATTTGTCATGTGATTTATGAGACTTGTCACAAATTCTTCATTTTCATTTCAAATAAAAAAATTCTCAGACTCTTTTCATCAATCAAATATAACCGTAAATGGGAGCTCAGGTAAGATAATATATATATGTTATATCTGATACACTAGCTACATTATAATTGTATTACTGCTACAAACAATTTACTGTCCTTTGTCTTAGAAAAATTATGATATGAAAGTACTTATTAGGAATCTGTATCAATGTGATTACCAAATTTGCCCTGCAACAATTCTCAAGGGGTCAAGCATATTACTCTTTACAACATTACCTCACAGCTTTTTTTTTTATTATATTGATAAAATGATATTAGTTTGTGTTTGTGTCTAGCACTAATATACATGGATGGGCTAATTAACAGGCATGGGCTTAATAAATTACAGAAAAAAATGTATTGAGCCTCATTGCCATTACTTAAATAACCTTTTTCTCATTTTGAGAACCTGACATTATCTTCTTGATGGGTGTCGTTGATGAAGCAGAGAACACTTACCCTTTCAGAACACCTGGTCTTAATCTCCATCCATGTACTTTTCAAGGGGGTCTCAACAAGCGAATATGACTTTAAGCAATATTCTATTGACATGTTAGTATTTATTTACTTTTTTTCTGCAGCGGAGAGTTTCGGAACTCTTCTACAGAACTACACTCCCTCCAGTTCGGCCATGACGTCTCCGTCCCTTGAAGATGTGCTTCAGGATTTACCTGTATTAAACAAAGTATCTTCTCCAAAACGAAACATTCCTGCAGAACAGGTTGCTATTCTTTGTTTACTAGCTAGTCAAGCATGTATTTCTGCAATACACAGCTCCTGATATAGACTCATCATTGCTAGAAGGTCACCACCCACACAATTATATTCCAAATAAGATATTGCAGTACAGAATTTATATACAGAATTTTATGGTCAGATCAATGGACTTCGGCATATTCTATGAATGTGGACAAAGATATGCGATTTCCATACACAAAATAAGACAAATTAAAGATATTCCTAAATAGGAACACCTTGGCTTACTTCTTTTTCTAAGTGAAGTAAGAAATGTTTTTATTGTTTCAATAAGTTGTTAGATATTTTTCAATAGAATTAAGAACATTTTAAGAATTTTTAAATCTATGTTTGATATTTCATGCACTTACGCACACACATAAATATATATATATTGGTGCTTTAAAAGGATCGCCAGCTGAAATAATTTGACCCTTTACTTTATGACTGTATAATTGTTTTTTTTTTTTTTTTACCTGTTTTCAATATTAAATTGATTACTAATACATTTTTGTATAAGAATGGCATGTTCCTGCGTATAATGCGCACCCCCTTTTTTAGCTTAAAAAAGTGTGCACTATACGCGAAAATTTACGGTATTTAATTTGTTAAGAAGGTTTTTTTTTTTGAGGGGTTGGGTTGGGGGAGGGGGAAGGGATTATGAACATTTACACATTTAAGAAACAATTAAATTAATTGATTAATGTAATTACATGTAATGATGTGTAATTAATTCAGCTTGATAAACTTTTCCTGTGTGAGAGCTATAATTACTCGCTAGGCTTGTTACTGATGGCCTCCATGCTTGTTTGATTGCAGATGGATAATGAAACTAGTGCTGATGACTTTGAAATAGTATCAGCCTATAGCTATGCTTCTCATGAGAAGCTTGATGGAGTAAGTCTGCATGGGAGATAACTCTGTCTGCATGGGAAATAACTCTTTTACTAATCCAGCTTAAAGTGAAACCAATCTATAATAACCCTCTCTTTGACACAACTTTTTTACTAATCCAGCTTTAAGTGAAATCTGTCTATAATGACCCTCTCTTTGATACAACATGATGGTTAAATTTTACCTGTCTGATGTATTGTTTGACACAACATTTTGGTCTGAATAACCTGTCTAATCTGACATCTTGTTTGACACAACATAGTGGTCTGATTTACCTGTCTAACTTGACACATTGTGGGGCACAACATATTATGGTGAGATCTACCTGTCTAATCTGACATCTTGTTTGACACAACATAGTGGTCTGATTTACCTGTCTAACTTGACACAATGTGGGGCACAACATATTATGATGAGATCTACCTGTCTAATCTGACATCTTGTTTGACACAACATAGTGGTCTGATTTACCTGTCTAACTTGACACATTGTGGGGCGCAACATATTATGGTGAGATCTACCTGTCTAATCTGACATCTTGTTTGACACAACATATTGATTTGATTTACCTGTCTAATCTGACATCTTGTTTGACACAACATAGTGGTCTGATTTACCTGTCTAACTTGACACATTGTGGGGCACAACATATTATGGTGAGATCTACCTGTCTAATCTGACATCTTGTTTGACACAACATATTGGTTTGATTTACCTGTCTAATCTGACATGTTGTCAGAGACAATATATCGGTATGATTTACCTGTCTTATCTGACATTTTGTTTGACACAACATAATGGTTTGATTTACCTGTCTAATCTGACATGTTGTCAGAGACAATATATTGGTATGATTTACCTGTCTAATCTGACATCTTGGTTGACGCAACATATTGGTATGATTTACTTGCCTAACACAACACGCTGGTATCATTCAGTAACTGTTCAGAAGTCACTGGTCTTGTTTTCATGTGAAATTATTATGACATATTAGACAGGTTATGTGAGAGTATGATGAAGTTTGTTATGGCAGGTTTCACATTAATTAGCTGTGTTTTCTATCTTTATTTCTCTGCATGTTATAAAGTAGCTGTTTTCCCTTGTCCCAACTTTGTGATAACTGGACAGTAGGAAGATTTTTAATCTTTCAAAGCTTTGTACATATATATATTACCATATTTATCCAATGATAAGCTTATGTCTGGTAATAAGCCCACCCAAATATCTATTTATATGATATGATACACTAAAACAATTTTTATTATCCCTAAAGTTGGCAGGGGGATATTCAGATGAGTTCTGTCCGTCCTTCTGTCTGTCTTTCCATTAGTTGGGATGTTGCTTTCCACATATCTTTTGAATTACTGGTCACATTTTGATGAATCTTGGTTGATGTACTTGTTACCTTAATCCCTTGCCCAAGTTCAATGAATGGCGAAGTCTGCGCATATTTAATGAGGCTACTGATTGGCTGATTTCTTTAATCACTCAATAGGAAATCGTACTGCATATTATCTTATGAAGGAATGGTAAGATTTTTTGGAAACTTGCTTTGTTCACTTATTACCTTAATACCTTGCCCAAGTTTGATTAACAGCGAATTCCATGCATATTTAATGAGGCTGCTGTGACCTGATTGGCTGATTTCTTTTATCACTCTCTGCTTTCCCGATGATATCTTTTGAAGGACTGGGAGGATTATGATGAAACTTGGTTGGTACACCTGTTACCTTAATCCCTTGCCCAAGTACGATTACGGCGAATTCTGCACATAATTAATGAGGCTGTTTTCTTTAATCACTTGTTAAATCTTAACTTATTTAATCTTTCTGCACAATGAAGGAATGACCAGATTTTAAAGAAACTTGCTTTGTAGCCTTATTACCTTAGCTCCTTGTTCAGGTTTGATTATCTATGCATATTTTATGAGACTTCTGTGACCTGATTGGCTGATATCTTTCTGCACTCAAATTGAATGCTTTTTGCACGCTACCTTTTGAAGGAACAAATTAATTATGACGAGACTTGCTTGGTAAACTTTTTACCTTAAACGGTTGTTCAAGTTTGATTATCGACAAATTCTGCGCATGATTAATGAGGCTGCTGTGACCTGATTGGCTGATATCTTTTCCAGTTTTCCATGTGTCCCAATTTAAATGTATATATTTTAAAAATGAACATGGGTAGGGGATCTTGAAGACTACGTCCTTGTTAAATGTGTTTCAGACGTACAACATAAGCTCTGGAGAGCTTATAATTCAAGCAAGCATAAATTATGTTAATTAATTCAAATCATGACTAAAATTGATCCAGGAATAAATATGATATTGTACACTTACATCAATAAGTGGAGGACAAGCTCTGTAAATTATCACAGACAAAACAAGTAGACACAGCAGTACTAGGATATTACAGAGACGTCATGTCCCTGAATATAACAACACTACCAATGCAAATCAAAATGGCATTTTAGCAAGTGAAGATCTCAGCTCATGCAGAACTAAAATTACATATAAAATTAAAAGGTACAGTCAAAAAAGCACAAAAAATCAAACCAACAAATGGCATGAACACAGTTTACAATGACAAATTGGTCCATCCCAGGCAGGTTATAAATAGATTTCATTTTCTTGTTCTCCAATAAGCCCATCCCCTGACTTTACGTCAGAATTTATCATTGACCCCTGGGTCTTGCTTCATAAATGCAGTACAGGTGATACAGAGTTTATAATGTTTAGTAATAAGATTATTACTTACAAATAAATATATGGCAGTGATTCTTCAAAGGAATTTCCACTAAACACTTGATATGAAAGTTTCAACAACTTTTTAAGGTTTGTTTTCATCCCTATTAAAAATTATCTATTTTTAGTATCACCAGGTGTTAAACACGTATAAGTACAATATATATAAATAAAAATGTATATTTCAACTTTAACATCAATAAAAGTTTGACGAAAATGAATTAAAGAAGTTTGCCTTACTCTGGTGGGAATTTAAAAATATCTTTTGATAACGATGCTTTGAACACTCAAAGGTTTCAAACTGCTCTTTGAGTGCTGGCCTTGGCATTAAATATCGCAGCAACTAATCTTAGTTTCTGTTCACAATCATGCTTAATCAGATTATGCTTTCATACATCTTAATTAATCAGGAGTAAACACTATAGAACATAGTTATATATTTAACATTAGCTGTAATTTTGTAAAAAAAAAAAAAAAAAAATCATCCTTGATACCCCAGAGGTCACTTTTGCTCTTTACAAATCTTGAATATTTCATGACAAAATTGAATGTTCCATATGTAACACCACTGGATAAAACCAGAAGGCGAGTTTGATCCCTAGACATACATCAAACGAATCTCCACAGTGTGTTGTACTGGCTTTGAAGTAGGATATCATTTCTTTGTAATCTTCAAAAGAGCATATCAGTCTGTGATTGATAATTTTTGTGTCTCCTGACACCCTCTCTAGACAAATAAAAATATAATGTCATGTACTGTCTTTGTGCTTTCAATTTTGCTATGAAATGTTCGAGGGGTGCAGAAAACTAAAGTGATCATACATCTTTTCTGTATTATTTTAATATGTATTACAGGTGCATGCAGTTTGTGTTACATTGCAAGGTTTGTTATAGTGTGAATTGATTGAAACATAGAATTCAGGTTTGTTTCAGGTGATTGTAGACAAACTTAATATGATTTTACTTTTAAAGAAATAAACACGGCTGAGAAATATCATACTGTATAGACTATTATTTTGGTGGGGGTGATATTTTCATTATTTCGCGGTATATGAAAGTCACCACAAAAATTTAATTCATGGAATAATAAAACATTAGTGTTTTATATATTCTTTTGAAACTAGGTCACGAAAATATCATTCTTTAGTATTTTTAAGATATGATCTATTTATTTTGATAGAAAATCAAGACCTGTAAAAATCACCAGATATATGGTATGTGTTGATAAAATGTACAGCATTTCGGAAAATTAAAAGAATTGATTTATGTCATATATTCAATGGGCTACAGTATATGTAGCAATGATATAAAAATACATGATGCTTATAAGGTTTAGAAATTTAAAAGAGGGGATAATTCTGTATTTCAGCACATGGAAAGCCGACTAGCTCTACTTGGGGAGATTGCCTGTGAGAAAGGACTGGATGCACAAAACTATAAGTGTGGGGGCTGTAGTAGGCCTGTAGGTCTCAGTAAGTATATGTACGATGGTAATATGTATATATAAAAACACACATACTGTAAATTATTCATTTTTCGTGGGGGAAATATTTTTGTTGATTTTAGGTGCAACTGTAATCAAGGAATTCACAAACTATTGAAATTAGTATAAATAGATTTATGAATTTTATGAAACTACAAGATTAAGTGTCCATGATTTTTTGGGTTTTCTTTTTTTTTTTTTAATCATGAAAATTGAGCTCCACAAAAATATCTAATTTTACAGTAGTCGACAGATATCAAGATTTTATGTTCCATAATCACATACTTAGGGAAAGATACAGTGTTTTCCTCATTTGTGGTAAATAAAAGAATTTCACCTGAGTCAGAACTATCTTATCCTGAATGTAAGAGTTTATCTTGTTAATGCGAGGCTCTATTGCATTTTGCTGACCAGCCAAGCTCATATACAAGGTTGAGGTATCCCTATTCATGGAAGAGACCTCATTTGTACTATTTTTCTGCCATAATTTAAAAAAAAAATCAACATACTGTGAAACAAATCAATCATCAATATTCCATGCAATATGCGTTGAAATTGATTACGTAATCAATTTGTGACATGATTACATATATTACGCATCATAAAAAATGACGCATCCCTATTGCAGTATTGTATAGCACATGTTATCTAGTGATGGGACAAAGACCAGATATAATAGATTATCTATTAATTTAACCTCATATGTGATACAATGATTGATTGTAATGTTCCTTAATCATTAGGTATCTGAAATCATTTTCCTGTGTTTTAACAAAAATAAAATTCAGTTGATACATAATAAAGACACCAGTTGCAAATAATATTCATTCTTCTGTAACTTCAAAGTAAGTGGGATATCTTAGCTAAAATTACAAAAAAAAGAAATTGCCACCATAGAAAATACATTCATTTTTTATGAATTTTTAACTTATGGTCAGTAACTTCTGTTTTCCATTCTGGTTAAGTCAACAGTAACCTATTGTTCTTGTTACTTCAATGGTAAATGTCATTGGGTAACCCTTTATCTGATATCATCATCTGATATGATATGATTTTTTTGATGATTTTGTACCTGTTTTCCTATTTTCACAGTATATGGTAACCCACGCCTTTGTACATTTGATGGCATGTATTACTGTTATGAATGCCATGAGAATGAAGAATATTACATTCCTGCCTTCATCATACATAACTGGGATTTCAGAAAACATAAAGGTATTAAAACGATAGATTCAATTTAGATCAAACGTCTGAATAAATTGTAATAAAAACAATTCACCATGAGTAACCTAGAAAAAAATTGATGATATCCTCTAATAAGACCAGGGTAAAAACAGAAACTACCACTCAAAGCATGTAAGGTCAGTGGAACAATATAGGTTTCTCTTGTTCTGCTGAAAACCAATAGGTTACATATTTCAACATGGATGGGCTTATTACCGGATATGGTCTTTAAAATATGTCCAATTTCGAAAATGTGAATACATTGAGAATACATGAACAGTTTCTCAAAATATAAGCTGTATTTTGACAAGGATGAAGAAAGACAAAAAGTGGCAAGCCTTTATTTTAAGTTAATTATATTGGTAAACTTTATTTTTAAACAAATTCAGAAAGTAATTATGTAATTCTGTCGAAATAACACATATACTAAAATACTGCTGTTTTCTGTCACTGCCCGATACAGCAAAAATATATGTGTCAGATGTATTCCAAAAACGGCAGCAATGGTTGCAGGATAATAAGTGTGATTTGATCCAGTTTTTGAAATATAGTTATGTACATCCAACTTGGGTGTCTTTCTCCACAAACACTGCAGTTAATTCATAGATCTGTCAAAATTGATCCGCATGAAGTCTTACCTGTTACATTTCAGAAAACTATTTCTGTATTTATGTTAATATTACATTCAAAATGGGGGAGTACTGTTGGTCTGTCCTCTGATTATTAAGAATTAGAAGTATATGGTTCTATAAACAGATACTTATCACAAAAAAAGCATCTTTAACTTAACATATCAGGGGGAATAACTCTAACATAAGACAATAGTATAAAGATAAAACATGTTAAATACACATTAGTTGTTGACATAAGGATGATACCTCTTTTATAGGTTAATGACATAAAAGTTATTAAACTTTTAATATCAAGAAGTAAATTCATGTCTGGTAATAAGCTCACCAATATCTGTTGACATAAGGGGGATAACTCTTACATAGGTTAATGACATAAAAGTTGTTTACGTTATGTCATATACACACAAACCATACTTTTAATATCAATTTGTAAGTTCATGTCTAGTAATAAGCCCACCTATAACTATTCATGATCAGTAGATTTGTCAGTGAATGCTATTTCAGTGTCCTGTAATAAGCCCATCCCCTGAATTTTGAGTCAGATGTCATGTGCTGGATCCCTGGACTTGTTGCAGTATAAATGCAATGGTTATTATTATGAATACTTGTATCAGTTAACAAACATTTGTATGGAGTCATTGGCAAATATTTGATTCTAATGTAATTTTTTTCTTCTTTGTTTTCAGTTTCAAAAAGAAACTTAAGATTTCTACAAGACACTGAAGATCAGGCTTTAATCAATATTTCAGAAATTAACCCCAAATTATATGAACATGTAAAAGAAATGGAAGATGTACAGGTATGTAATATTTCACCTCTGAACTACTAAGGTCAGAGGGCAATTTGCACCAGAAATGAACATATATATATGCCACCAATACATATTGCATGCATGGAGGGAAAAGCAGGCCGTAAAGTCACAGAGGTCATTTTCAAAGGTCAAGATCACAAAGGTCATGATCAGTAATGCAGTCACGCTTGGTAATATATTTAATTGTTTGGTATCACACAGAGTCATGGTCACAGATCAGTTTAAGTTTGGTAAACCAATTGGTTTTATGGTCTCATTAAGAGGTCAAAAATACTTTCAATATACATTTTTTAATTTTTTGTTATAATCATGATCAATGTTTTTTTTTCTGTCCAGCTGAGTCGAATGCAGCTTACTTACCTAAAGACTTACTTGTTCACCTGTAAACAATCCATCGCTGAAGAGTTCCGAAAGAGCGTTTGGCCAAAAGATTACATTTACGATACAATGGATGTGTATTCACTGACAGTAAGTATCTAGTTACGTCTACAATACTGCAAGAGATTCTGCAGCTTTGGTAGAACTTCAGTTTTTATCTAAGAATTCCAGTATATGACGTAATTAATCCATATCATTCATTGCTTTACTTATAAAATACCAACCAATGCCTTTTAACTGTCCTGTTAAAAGCCCACCCCATAACTTTGAATCAAAGGTCTTTTCACATAAGCAGCCAAGGTTTGATTCCTGAATCTGGCACAAATATAAAAAAACAAAAACAAAATTATAAATAGGGTCACCTGCTTGACCAATTGGGTTTTCTATGTGTACTTCTGTTTCCTTCAGAGATCAAACCCCTCACTTTTCATCCACACTAAGAATTTTTCGATGTCATAATTGTTATGTGATAAATTAAGTTTAAAGCTTAGTTTACTTTCAGATATCCATGCTACATTTCTGTCCAGTTTACTTACACTCTAGCGTAGCATAGGATGCATTTGAAATATTCTAGCAGCAAACATTGACTCAAATCTTTTTGTAAATAATGAATATCTGGAATTTTTGAAATGCTGATATTTTCAAATGGAATTCTAAATTAACGGTAAACTATTGAGTAGTGATTTCTATATTCTGGGAAACATTTTGAAGGGAGCATATTGGTGCTACATTGTTCGAAGCCCCTTTTGTGTCCAGAGCAAAATTTTGCTTTTTTTTAAGCCAGGATAATGAAACTTGTTGTACACATTGATCATACTAAGACGATGAGCTGAAACCCCTCAATTACAGAGTTATTGTCCTTTGTTAAAATTTTGTGTCCAATTAAGAGCATTCATCAGGTTCACTGATGCTCTTGTCTTGTTTTTTATGTTCTTTTGAATACCAGCTAGCTAATTATTTTCTTTGTCTCCATGACAAGGAATCATAACTGTAATTATTGTAATGTCATATAACCACAAAATAAATTCTTGCTGTAGCAGTGGAGGAGCAATGACAATGCACTATTGCACTGTAAAGTATGTATGTCAATATGACACATTTTTTCAACTATCTTTGACACCTATTGCAGTGTCAGGGTTATCTTTCGAGGCAATTGTTTTTGACCATCAATGTCACCTTTTGCACTTTCATGCATATCTGTTGCCATGGCAATTGTTTGGGACCATTTGTGTCACCTATTGCACTATGAAGCAATTTTGTTACCTATTTCACTGTCTGATACGTCTGTTGCCATGGCAATTGTTTTTGCCAATTGCACTGTCATTAATTATTTACTAGTAATGTGAAATAAGCATCTTCGCTCCAGATGTTTTTTATTCTATATCCAAGCATTAAATAGTTTCAAAGTATGTGGAATTTTTATATCTTGCATTGAATCATTAAAACACATTTGTTTTTGCAGGATCTCCTTCAAGTTCCTTCAGGACAATTACAGCAGAGCCTTAAAAAGGTCATCAAGTTTGCCTCCAAGCATGTGTACGAGTCAGGGGTCAAATATCTCAAAATCTTTAAATAACTTCTTCTCAAATACTAGAAGGCCTAGGGGGCTAATACTTGGCCCATAGCATGCTCATGGAGCCCTACAAAGTTTGTTCAAATGGTCTACTTTATTTAAATGAATGACCTTGAACAATTTTCAAGGTCGCATGTCAAAATCTTTAAATAATTTCTTATCAAATACTAGAAGGCCTAGGGGGCTAATACTTGGCCCATAGCATGCTGGCATGGAGCCCTACAAAGTTTGTTCAAATGAATGACCTTGGCCCACTTTCAAGGTCACAGGGGTCAAATATGTCAAAATATACAAAGGACTTCATCTCAATAAGCAAAAGTCTATGAGTGCCGATATTGGGTCTGTAGCATGCTGGGAGGAAAGGCTACCAAGTTTATTCAAATGAATGACCTCAACCCACTTTCAAGCAGCCAGAAAGGATTTATCTGTGAGCTTTGTAACAACCCAAATGTCATCTACCCATTTGAGGTGGCACTTACTGTGAGGGTAAGTATATCTATAAGTCAAAGGTCAAGATAATTTCTAATATATGTTTCTATTTTATCTACAATATTTTTTTTACACAAGATGCATCTCATTATACCAGTACACTCATTAAACATACAATTTCCTCATCATGCTCTGTTTTGGTTTACCTTTGTATTATCCACGCCTCCTCTCATCACCTGTGTGTGGTCTCACCACTCCTTGCAAATGCATTGACATTCAGACAATTATTTAAACAAAGGCATTTTGCTCCCATCATCGTCACTTCTATGTCATTTTCACAAAGGATGAAGACATATCTCAAGATATCACTGTGACGTAATTCATTTAAAATTAAAAACAAAAAGGTAAATGTTATCAGAGAACATTCATGTTTGTCTAGGTTATTTTTGTAATGATATGCAGTATACATTTTTTGGGAAATATCTTGGGTATTTTTGGGATCTTGTTAAGTGGGTTAAGTTCCTGCCCAAATTGCCATCAAAATATGGGCAGATACAGAAAAAGTATTTAAACAAATATCTTCACTGATATACGATGTGACATTAGTATCAACTTGTATATTTAAGAACAGTCATTTTGGTCCATGTGCCATATCCTTTATGCAATTATTGTTTGAATGCTGACGCAGGTGTTCATTGATTTAAGATCGATATAAAAACAGTTGAAAGAATATCAGAATAATTTAGACTAATTTGAATTTTGAGAAGATACAGCACCAATTCAAATTTTGTTCTAGTCAACTCTTGAATAACCAGAGTTATGGCCCTTGGACTTCAAGGGCTTTACTAGAGTCAGGATTATAGTAAATATGTTGACTGGCTGTGATCTGTGTGTTTTACAAGCACTCTTTACTGTTTTATGTTATGTGTTTCAGTGTCATCGATGTAAGTCTGTCTTTCACAAAAGCTGTAAAACAGACACTCGTCATTGTCCGAAATGTCATCGTCGAGATAGCCGCAAATCACTGGGTCATAGTGAGGCTCTCACACCGGATATCCATGATTATGCTTACTCTCCTCATCGGTAGTAGAGGACACGGAGGTAGTAGGGTCAAAAGGTCATAAGGGCAGATGGTTGATGTATTGCCAAGATTAATATGTTACAATATACATTCTTACTTATTAAAAGAGCAGTTATATAGAAAAAAAAACATTACTGTGAAACCAAGTGAAAAAAATACCAGCTGCCAAATATAAGACAGAAAATAGACTTTTACGGTTAGCTTGTAAGCAATGAAATTGTGAATTCATAAAAATTAAAGTTTTACGCAATGCAGTTAATGAAAAAATGAGATTTTCAACAAATGCTTTTACCTGTGTATTTTAAAAAAAAGGGATATTTAACTGAACAAAAGATTGAACATGGTGTACAAAGTTGTCCTATGATGATTAAAAAATTTCGTTGTTTTTACTGAAAACATGTTTTAAGATATTCTTCCATTAAAGCTATTTTACTTATATTTTAGAAAAAGTGAAAGGTTGTTTTCCTTTTATAACAAAATCTTAACTTTTTAAAATTATTTTCAGTGGAGTACAACAGGAGAAAAATCATTCGATCAAATATGTTTCTTAATTTATGCAGTAATTCAGGGACATGCAGTAGATCTTAACTTTTTCATAATTCTATTTACCTTTTTGGTTTTAGTTATTGAGAAAAAATTGAAAGCAGAAAGAAATTTTGAACAATATTAAAAATTTTTATTTGGAGATGCAAAACATAGTGGGGTTTCACTGCCTTAATCAGTTTTTTAATCAAGTAGTCATTGCATATTTTAAAGAAGATAAATTGTATGTATCGGTAAATAATGGTTAATGATGTAGAGAAAAAAATTATATTATAAAAAAATGTGTGTGATAAAAGTCCATGCATCACAGGTATTTGACGTAAGTGTCCACCCACACATGGAAATTATGCCAGTAACACACAAATACAGGCCATGTAGGTATTTGATCTGTGCCAAGTCTCCTTATGGTAAAGTATAACTTGTACAATAAAGATTTTGTCCGAGCTTTGTGTGAAGCTACATGTGAAATATACAGTATACAGAGAGAGAGAGAGAAAGAGAGAGAGTGAGGGAGAGAGAGAGATCACTGCGGATGTCCTTCATTAGACCCACAGGTCAAACCTATGACTTAAGAGGCCAAACGTATTGGAGGAGAATGTGTTGTATATGAAGCAGGAATATTACCAGGTGTTTGGGTGAATGCATGATGCATATTTCATTAGTGTAGGCTGATTTTTCAGGACAAATTTGTGGCAAGAAAATTTTAATATGACACCCAACATTTGTTATACATAAGAATGTATATTAGGTTTGTAGAACAAATGATTATTCCATGCAGGTTAATTTCTTTTCTGACTCCAGTGAGGTGTTTTCCAATTTATTTCAAATTAGCATGCTTTAGCAAGATTTCTTTTTAAGATTTTTAAAATTAACAAAGAGCTCTTTCAGTAAAATATTTTCCCATTCCCAGAATTCCCTAGTTTCATTATGAGAAACCAACCATATGATTTAATTTTTTTAATTTGTAAAAAAAAAGGCAAGAACGTTGAAGCAACCAAAGTCATGGATAGAAGTGTCTATAAGGTGGAATAGGTTTTCTTACTGAAATAGCCTTAATGCAAGTTGTGTTTTTGGTAATTGACTGTTTTCTGCCGTAGTGTCAATTAATTATCTGTAGTGAACCGTTTGTATAAATTCTGAGTGATTGTGAAATTACTACTTGGAAACTGTATTTGTGTGTTGGCATCCTACACATTGTCGATTCTTAGTGATGTCAGTCTTCAAATCACAATGGATCAGGATATTTTCAACCAATCAAATGGCTTGGTGATGATCATACATCTCAGCTATTTTTTTTCATCCCAGGCTTTAAACAAGAGGTACTTCTGTGGTACCTGTCATCCCTTTTCTCAAAAAGAACACTTTATTTCATGTTAATTTTGAAAAAGTAAATATCACACTGTCAAGCCTCTTTGACCAATACCTTCAAACTCCACGGGTTTAGCCCCAGAACAACCTTTATTTAGACAATTATCGTCACTTGTTATGACGAAAAATGGCCTTGCTATCAATTGTGTTTTTGTTTCTAGTAATCAAAATTTTTCTTATTGCAATGACAGTTCTTCAAAGTAAAAGACTTGTCCTGCTTTTTAAATGATATACAGAGTTATAGCCCTTTGACAAGTTCATAGAATCTATTGTACCAGAATGACATAAGTTTCAATAAGTGAAATAAATTCAGTGCTTTATGATCAGAAATCTATAACAATATTGAAATATATTCGGCTGTAAATGTAAGTACAGGTTTTCTTCTTATTATTGATTCTAATGAAAAATGTATAGTATGTGTTAAAACTGTGCTATAAATGTTTAAAAATCTATTTTTTTGCAAAAATCAAACCCTAGTGTACTTTTCTTTTACATTCTTAATTCTTCCCAGTGATTAAGAAAGAGATATAATTGTGTTTTAAACAAATATGCATGTATTTTAATTTTGCATATTATTTTAAGAGTTTAAAAAATAAGATTTTACTTAAAATTTGGTGTGGGTTACCAAACTACTTAAACATTTTTTTTTTCATTTACATTAATGTTGTTGGGAAATTCTAGTAACCGACGTAGCGTAGTAGTATTTATTTTCATATTACCCGTGTTTTATCTAATTGATCAGAAATTTTGATATTTTATTTGAATGTTCAACATGTGTTGTTTCATTGTACGGTTATTTATATATTAATTTACCTGTGAATAATATTTATTTACATAATACAATGAAGCCTAATGTTGCCGTGACACAATAAAGAAATCTTTTAATATGTAACATTCTGCGTTTAGATTTTTCATTGTGTTGGTTTTACTTACAAAAAATATTCACACAGGGAATTTACTAGCTTTACATAGATATTTATCTAATTATTAAATTTACTTTTAAAATACGAAAACAAACATTGCATTTTTAGGTCATCTGGAAATTCACTTTTCGTCCGTCGTCCGCCGTGCGCCGTGCGCCGTCCGCCGTGCGCCGTCCGTAAACTTTTCATTCAAACGACTTCTTCTCAAATACTAGAAGGTCTAGGGGGCTAATACTTGGCACAACTGGCATGGAGCTTACCAAGTTTGTTCAAATGAATTTTAAAGGTCACAGGGGTCAAATATTTAAAATTTTTAAACAACTAAACCAAAAGGCTCAGAGTGTAGATATTGGGCCTGTGACATGCTGGGATGAAGGACTACTAAGTTTGTTCAAATGAATGACCTTGATTTCAAATATGTTAAAATCTTTAAACAACTTCTTCTCAATAACCAAAAGGCTCAGATTGCGGATATTGTGCCTGTGGCATGCTGGGATGAAGGGCTATCCAGTTTGTTTAAATGAATGACCTTGAACAACTTTCAAGGTCACAGGGGTTATGTTTAAATAACTTCTTCTCAAATACTATAGGGGGCTAATACTTGGCCCATAGCATGTTGGAGCCCTTAAAGTTTGTTCAAATGAATGACCTTGGCCCACTTTCAAGGTCACAGGGGTCAAAAATATACAAAGGACTTCAAATAAGCATATTCTGTAGCATGCTGGGATACCAAGTTTATTAAATGACCTTGAACAACTTTCAAGGTCACAGGGGTCAAATATGTTAAAATATACAAACGACTTCTTTTCAACAAGCAAAAGTCCATGAGTGCTGATATTGGGCCCGTAAGATGCTTGGAGGAGAGGCTACCAAGTTTGTTCAAATTGACCTCAATTTCTACTTGCTTTTTGTCAGATGACCGTTAAGGCCCATGGGCCTCTTGTTTATTCTTTTAACCCATGTTTGATTTTTATTTTCTTGACAAAATAGTAAATAAATATTGAGTTAACAAACTATGTCAAAATTTTCCCTATATACAGCGGTTCCTGCAAACTGAAGTATCTCACTTAAATAGGTAAGTAAATCATGATGTTTGATGATTTAGCACTACACCCTAACATATTTCTAAAATTATTATAATACGAAGAGAAAAGTACCTGTTATAGAACTAGTATTGAACAAAGTAATATATCATAGATAAGATATTATATTTAACTTAATTACTATACATTACTTAAACGATAATCATTTTAGTGTTATACAATAAAGTACCCCGAAACAAAACTTGAAAATTAAGAGAGAGGAAAGTATTTCAAATATGAATAGAGTATTTGAAATAAAAGCAAATATACCAGAAATAAAACTAGAGTATTTGAAATAGAGAGAAAAAATACTGGAAATAAAACCTAATAGAGAATTGAAAGATATAAAATTAGAATATTTGAAATATTATTATTATTACATTCTTAACAGCCCGTCAACACAAAAAAGGTCATTAGGGCCATCAAACGGTAATATTTGAAATAAAAACAAATTCACTTAATATAAAATTATTGTTATAAAAATATCACATTTCTGGTAATTGGTATCAAATCTACTAATTCATCAATGAGAAATTGTTAATAGTTATTTCAGTTTTATTTATTTTTATTAACTTCTGGCCAAAGGGCCCATCAATATTACAGGTGTACCTAAACACACTGTACAATGTATATGTGAATATAGTCAAAGATCATAAATGTCAGATACTAGAAATATTAGTTATCTAAACATTACAGCATTATCATCAATATTACTTTCAAAATAAAACAAAAAGACATTTAAATATTTCACAAGATATATTAAATAGGTTTTATCATACTTAATAAGAATATAGAGAATTCAATTAATTAAAATATGAATATTTATTAAACATATTCTTCAATATTTATATTAAAAACAGTATCATACACATAAAGATAAATATAAGTAATAACAGAGTGCCCACAGGTGAGTTTTTTACAGGTAAATTTTAACTGTTGGAACTGGTACTGCTTTAAGTCCCTGTCATAGGTAACTTCCTAAAAACTTCATAGGATTGAAAGAACTAATTATAAAATATGTGAAAAAAAATTTTTTTTTTTGAGTCGATTAACTCAAATACCAGAGAATGATTTTGAAAATTCTAGCTTGTTCCAGCCAAGTTTCATTCAGTTTGTAAAAATTATGGAAATTGTGGATAAAAATACAATTCAGATTTCAGGGCAAGAAAATTATTTTAAAACAAACAAGTTTAGTTGGATCTAGTCGATAACCAATGTTTAAACAATGACAATCTTGAGTCTGATCGTTTAGGAGAAATTTAGGTGTTTTTACCTTCTTCCATGCAAAAACAAGTATTGTTATATATATCGCTTATATTGAAAGAGATTAATATCACTTTTCAAAAAGTGTTATGGCTATAAACGACATTATCCATATATTTTAGTCGAAAAAAAATATGTATCAAACTTTTGTCAGTGGAATCACGGCACCGAAGTTGACCCCTACCCCGCCAATGGTTTCGTCTACCATAAAGCGTCACACATGTCTGAAAATGAAGTTATTCATCCAATTCATAAGAGGCATATCAAGGGGCGCCGAATTTTCAACCATAGTTGAAAATTCGATGCGTTGGATCCAATCCCTTCCTGAGTGGTTTGTGTTCTGTTGAAGCTAAGATCTGGGGGCCATCACAGTCGCCTTATCCCGGTCGCTCTGTATGATATGAGGCTGGCCTCTCATATGATATTCAGCGAGGCTAATACAAGCAAAACACCATCTCAAAATAACTCTGGCTATTTACGGGGCGACAAACCAAGCAAATAAATAAATGTTCTCACGGAGGAGACCAGAAGAATTCAAGAAAACCGATAATATTGATATTGGTATGAGCAACCCGATAAGTCGAATCCGTGAAAATTAAGAGATATACATGCTTAGAGACCGGGGATTCGGTAAACAGGTGAAAAAGATATTTGAAAGTCGCTTTATCGGAACCAGCCGTATCCACGCTCCAGGAAATCGTAATATTTAGCAGTCTGTGATGATCAATTCATTTTCGGTTGCCTTTCCTTAATCTATTTATCAATCGCTACAAGAACCAGAAACAGAAAACTAGTTGTACGTCGGAAATCTGTAAACATTTCTTTGGAAAATTGATCGAAATTGTTTCAAACTTAATGACAACGTTGAAACACTGCATACTTTTGGGATGCTACGCATTTTGATTTATTTGTGAAGAATCAGTGTCGAATTTTGGTCTAAATTCGTCCATGACTGGTACTTTATCTCTTTATCCGTTATTGACCTCTTTTTCGAAATACATCTACCTCGAAAATTAGACGAAAAGCAGATTTGAAATGTTCACTGACCGTGACAATATCACAGTTATACGATAAAACATCGAAGTCATTGTCAAGAATTAAGAAAATTGCAATTGACAACGAACAAGTCAACATTTAATAATTTGACACTTTTCAATAGTATGAAGAATTCTCTCCCTCTCCTCTCTCTCTCTCTCTCTCTCTCTCTCTCTCTCTTTAGAAAATGAAATTAATTCTTCTTGTGTGAAAACGTGAATGAAATATACAAAAGACACACAAGTCTGTTAACACCATTCAATACAAATTATATACTTAGATTAAACAACATCATTAAGCTGTTGTTGAAGAGTGGGAAGCGATCAAAGGCATTCTAGATTTGCGATATCGGTTCAGGTCATACACTTTTTAAAAGATTTTTGAAGATTATCTTTCTTCTATTTCACGACTGACACGTGCCCGTTGTTCTATAACTGACTGTAACAGCCCGACACAGAATAAGCAAGAACACAGGCTCAACACTGACACGACAATGAAACTGAGAGTAAAGCATTTTATACCATAACAGTCCTGAGAACCTTTTGCCACAATATTGTAATCATACAAAGCACCAAATACTTGCTGACAGCCCAAACCGCCTAGCCCGCTACCTATCATAGCCGTGCCCCAGTTCCGACCAAAGTATTTCAAACCGTATACTTCAGAGATGATCGTCGGGGATAAACACCAGAGAGCGCCATTTGCGAATCCGATGACTAGAAGGGTTATGACAAGAAGGATGAAGTTATCCGAGAAGAATATACATAAGGTGAGTACAAGAGTTTGTAAACAATAGAAGAACAACAAGACGGCCGGTCGTGGAACTTTGTGAACTATGGCGTCAGACAGTACGCCAACTGTGAACTTACAGCAGATGGCGGCTATTGGGTTTAGCGTGGTGAAAAGAGTTGTATACTGTTCTATATCAAAAGATTTCAAATACACACCAATGTTGTTTTGGTACATCAGTTGAAGTCCAGAACAGAACATAAAAGGCCATAACATAAAATGGAACTCGGATCGGCGACATAATGCGCACCCGGTAACATCCGGGACTTCAGAATTATGATATTGATGACTTGACTTCCGGTCTGCTTCTAAATCTTGCGTGATTGTAAAGTCATGTTCCGAAAGGTCCAGAGGGTAGCGTTTTAATAAAAGTATTCCAAGTAGACCAACTACAACAAATGCTATCGCATTGAGTAGATAGAATCCCCTCAAGTCCTGATTCTGTTCGTCGTTCACGTGACCATTGACGAAGAACGCGCCATAAAGCAGTGAGAAAAGGGCGGGTCCACCACTGAAGCAAGCGTCAAGAGTTCCAACGACCTTTCCACGGTGTTTTGGAGGGAAATTCTCCATACTTGTGATAAGGGACGCCATATACATGAATATAGCTCCAAAACCTGAAACAAAAGGAGATATGTGAATTCATGGTAGTGTTTGATTCTCGTTATTAAACCGGTTAGTGCAGTTGTTGTTTACCTTGTTCTTATTTAGGAACGTGACATTATTAGTTGGACTGACCAGACATTACATGGCGGGTGTCGTCGATGAAGCAGAAGACGCTAACACTTCCGTGTCGACTTATAAAAGAATTTTCTTGGTTGGCGATATATTTGGGCAAGTCATTGCAACAGTCTGAGGAAGAGCTAAGTGACTTACGACGAAAGTGTGTCGACCAAAAATTACTTTACTCGACTCAAGGACGATTTAGTTGCTATCCCTCTCCATGTCGATCTAAAAATGGTTAACTCGCCCGTGTTAGAAAAGTATACATACGTTCCGTCCTTTTTATACATACATACCAACTTACCGACTAAGAAGAAGTAGACATATTGTAGGGGCGCACGCCCACTGTAAAAGTCTATTGAGAAAGTCGTACTCCAAAGTAACATCATTGCCGTCGAGGTCATCAATAGGGCAGCAAACGATGTCCAGCGAGCCCCCAGCTTCTCGCACATAAACCCTGCTGGCAGTCCGATACATATACCGAAGTTACCCATCGAAGATATCACCTCGACTGTAAACAGGTGCAGGAAACATGTTTATGTAAAATTTGTTTTATATCATTTAATTTTCAAGGGATTTTATTTTCGATGTATTTTAATATAAATAAATAAATCTAAATAGAGAAATCCATAGTTCGTTTTGCAATTTAGTGAAAAGTTCAGGTCGGGTTAATATCTGGGTGGAGTAGTACATGATGACTAATCGCCTTTAAGATTTCCTCATAGTATGACTTAAACCAGTATCGTTAAGATCAATTAATTTCTTCAAATCGATTCTTTATAACGCTGGATCAATATTTATATTGTTACCTACCGGTTTTTACTTATTTATCGATTTATTTATCTGTTTATTTATTTGTAAAGATATAGACCTGTTCAGGTTGTCCTGTAATTGTATAAATAACGATTTTCACTTGTGACGGTTTTTTCCGGTTAAAGTTATTTTTCTCGGCGCTTTCACTTTATCCGTGAAGTAATTGTTTAAACAAATATTCTGTTGAATTAACATTAAATATCCCCCGATGAAATTTACTAATCATAAGTGTAGTATATATTAAGAATACCTTCCGACTGTGAATAGCTGAAGTGTTTCTTGACAGCATTCGTGTAGGCACCAAACGCAAAGACAGAACCCGCTGCTATCATCCCTAAACAGCCAACCCCGAGGGGCAGCAGGCGTTTCAGAAATGTCACTTTCCCGGGGGTCGAGGCTCGAGAAAACAGCCGGTCCGATTCCTGACTGGTGGCTATAACATCAGATAACTTTCGATTAACTTTCGACATGTTGGGTGTCTGTTCGTCCGGTGATTTAGCTAATGGTATATCCGCGGTATATGCAACTGGTCAGGAATCCAAACGATAGCATCATGACATTTTAGAATTTAGCTCCCCATGTACCCTGGATTTACAAGTTACTTTAATCAGTTAACAATCACATAACGGTTAGTACGACCAAGTGATAAATAAGTGAACATTGTTATCGTGTGTCCGCCACTATCACGTGACCACGGTCGTGTGACTGGTAATCAGTCGATAAGAATGTTCAAAACTTCCCATCGTTACTTCATACCAAGGTAGATCTTACGGAAGCCTATAAAGGTCAAATTTCGAAGGGAAAACCAACAAAATCGCGTTATTACGCGAATACAAGCGTAATAACGCCTTTCAAAAGTCATAATAACGCGAAAAATGTCGTAACAACGCGAAAAATGTCGTAATAACGCCTTTCAAAGGCTTTCGTAGACTGAACAGAAGCAATGACATTTGTATTCTTACCTGTAAAAGTCTTTATAACGACGTTTTTCGCGTTAATACGACTTTTTTTTTCGCGTTATTACGACTTTTGACAGATGTTATTACGCTTGTATTCGCGTAGTAACGCGATTTTATATTTTTTGCCCTTCTAAATTTGACCTTTCTAGGCTATCGTAAGATCTAGTATCAATTATTGATGAGATAATCTGTATTGTTGTTTCTTTAATGACATATATTCAATGTATAGCTCACGTAGATAAGATATCGAAGGGTTGATTATAAATGAACGTGATGATAAAGAAGTATCACGTATAAGGACACCTGAGCACCTATCCTATCGATCAATACATGCATGCAAATTGTGCTTTGGTTTATATTGCATAATGTTCTATCATTACAAAGGTCATTTGAGGAAGGCCTCCTGATGTATACGAGATGAATTCGTGTATTCCATGCGTGTGTTTTTGGAAGGCTGTGATAAATTTGTATCAACTTCCTAGTGAAAGTGTGGAACGTACATCAGCTGGACACCCCACGCGGTCAAATCATACTGACAACGTATGGGCGAACCAGCCATTTACACTACCATGATGTTGAACGTTCAGCAAGGAGAAGTAACTACCATTTCTAAAGACGCAAACATGGTTTTTCGATGTACATGTATAGCAATATAGTAACGTAAACCAACACGTCACCCGAGTCTCATGGACCTATTACGATCGCCTTTTGTCCGGCGTCGTCAGTCGTTTGTCGTGCGCTTGCACTCGCGAACAATTAACATTTTTGACATCTCAGAAAACACTGAACTACATTTGTAATTTTTACTGAAATTTTGTTGAAGCCTTTTATGGCAAAATATGAACCCATGTTGTGAATTGTATGGTTCCCACTCCCTAGGGGCCCAATGGTTGGACAAAAAAAAGGCATCGAATTTCAAAACCTTTCTTTTCAAGATCGAGATATGAACGACAATATGATTGTGGATCGTGGTTTCAGGGACGTCTTAGATCTTCTTGCTGAGCTTGGGTATGATACTAGAATGTCGTCGTTTTTATCAGCGGGAAAATCACAGTTGGACTCTCAAACAGCTAATAGCGATCGCTGTTGAACCAAAACACGATTGGTTGCAAGGTCTTACCACGGACGTTTAAAGAAGTGGGTGATTTTCAAGGATTAACTTCTATCAAATTACTTCATTGAGCTCATTGGCAAGTTAGTTCGCATTGTAACTGCATGTCTGAATGTTTTCAGAGGACACATATATGTTTCAGATCCACTTCAAGTGGAGCTAGATACGGAAATTAAATGGCTTAGCGAGATACTGGAATGGCTCAGCGAGATACTGGAATGTCTCAGCGAGATACTGAACTGGCTCAGTGAGATACTGAACTGGCTCAGCGAGATACTGAACTGGCTCAGCGAGATACTGGAATGGCTTAGCAAGATACTGGAATGGCTCAGCGAGATACTGGAATGTCTCAGCGAGATACTGAACTGGCTCATTGAGATACTGGAATGGCTCAGCAAGATACTGGAATGTCTCAGCGAGATACTGAACTGGCTCAGCGAGATACTGGAATGGCTCAGCGAGATACTGGAATGTCTCAGCGAGATACTGGAATGTCTCAGCGAGATACTGAACTGGCTCATTGAGATACTGGAATAGCTCAGCGAGATACTGGAATGGCTCAGCGAGATACTGGAATGGCTCAGCGAGATACTGGAATGTCTCAGCGAGATACTGAACTGGCTCATTGAGATACTGGAATGGCTCAGCAAGATACTGGAATGGCTCAGCGAGATACTGGAATGTCTCAACGAGATACTTAAATGACTCAGCGAGATACTGGAATGGCTTAGCGAGATACTGGAATGGCTCAGCGAGATACTGGAATGTCTTAGCGAGATACTGAAATGACTCAGCGAGATACTGGAATGGCTCAGCGAGATACTGGAATGGCTCAGCGAGATACTGAAATGACTCAGCGAGATACTGAAATGGCTCGGCGAGATACTGGAATGGCTCGGCGAGATACAGGAATGGCTCGGCGAGATACTGAAATGGCTTAGCGAGATACTGGAATGGCTCAGCGATATACTGAAATGGCTCAGCGAATGCTTTCGGTTCTACAAAAAGACAACGTTTTAGCAAAGCGAGATGGTGAAGACCACAACATGACACGCCAAACTGAATGTGAATGGCAGAAACTTGAAGCATCTGATATCCCATTTCCTCGTGTGAATCTGGAATACCTTAAGACCATCACATGCGGTATGTAACAAATCAAACGGTCACCTGGTTACATTATGAAACATCAGACAGATAACGGTGATAACGATATTTGGGTCTATCTGCACGATGATCTCATTTGAGGACAGACTCATTGTCGTCCCGAAGTACAATGATTGACGAGAATGAATCTGACGGTTCAGTGATGGTATACTATTGTTTATGTACTACAGGAAAGAGAATCTCTGGCATGTGTAACCCAAGTTACATCAATAATATATTACTTGGGGTATTATGTGCATTTGGAACATCCGAAACCATTGCAACAGTATCAAACTTAAAGATTTTTTCTATGAACTAAACTACCAATGTCTCAGTGAAAGACAGAAAATCAGAAATTTGAATTATCACCATTGTACGCCTGAAGTAAGGCATCATTCATTATCTGAAATTATGATAAATTATAAATTAATATTATTTCTTAAAAAGAATTGTCTTAACACATGTAAGTTATAGCCACGCCTATTTATTTCTGTTCCATTATGAAAAGAAAGAACATTTTAAATATTTTCATGATTCTGCCATCACAAGAGTATTTGTCTTTGGAACAAATTTACCGGTTACGGAATTGATGAAATTTTCGGTACTGTAAGTACATATATCCGACCAAAACAGTGTAAATATATTAGGTAGTAAACAGCAACTGAACGATTGTCAAACAGTTTTCCAAAACTTGAATTTGTTGAAATGTTCATGAACAATTATCAATTTTTTACCAAGTCAAACTTCAATAAATTTTTTTATATTTGCAACACTTCGCTTCATATTTGAGTTTAAAAGATGCATCAGACTTTAATGAAGAAAATTTGACCCAATTTAATGATTTACGAAAGATTTTAGAACACGATTTGGGGGTAAGGCGTGCGTTCTGGCTCGCGCCGATGACAAGGACATAAAAACGTCATAGTGCAGGCCATTGGTGACTTTTGGATTTTTTAAACACACTTCTTAGGAGTTTACTTGGGTACTGCAAATAACACACAATAAAGATTAAATTGGGATGTAGGCAATATGACATATACCATGAAACAGGTCATATAAAAATCGTCCTTTTAAGCTCTAGATATGGTAAAATGAAGAAGTGTCTTAAGATGGTTTATCACAAATGTAAATGACCCAAGGGTCTCGCATATCTCTAAAAGAGTGTGGGGGATAATGAAGTTTACTTTTGTTTATATAACCAGTTTTGATAACATGCATTGTATATTTATCTGTTTACCTTTGTATGGTATGTACCATGTACGCAGTTCACAAGATGATTTTTGTGAAATGTCATAACAACGAAAATTACGGTTTTAAGCTCAACGGGCCCATGGGGCCAAGTAAGCTCAGATGGGATGTCTATCGTCCGTTCATAATTTTTTTCGTTTAAACATGATTTCTTCCCATTAAGCGCAAAAAGTGATTTAATATTATATCATAATAAAGTTTTTTTCCAGGATAGGCTAACACAGTTTATGAAAAGTATACAATCTTGTCCCATACTCAGGTCACTGGGGTCAGATTTGCTTAAATCTTTCTCAGGTTTAACAGAAGGCTATTTCAGGTCTATTGTATAAAGCACAAGAAAGTGTACGAAAACAAATGACCTTGACTCATATTCAAGATCACAAAGACCAAATTTGGTAATCATTCAAATGACTTTTTTTTTCAATAAACAAAAGGTATAGAAGCATAACATTTTTTCTAGAACGTTCCTCGGATGATTGCCAACACAATATGCGTAAAGAAACTATATTGACCTACATTCAAGCTCACAGGGATTACATTTGTTAGAATATTTATGTTAACCAAAAGGCCTAGAATTGGTCATATAGGTTCCTGGGATGAAGTCCAACAAACTTTGGCGAAAGAAATGACCTTGACCGATGTATTAGTGCAAAAGGCGAAATTTGTCGAAATTTTAAATGCCACCTTCTGATAACCTAAATGTCTAAATGCAGAATCATGATACTCGACTTGTAGTTTTTCTACAGTTCTTGCTGGATTCTTTTGCAAGTTTTGTATGAATTACTAATGTTGGTGGTATGGAAATATTTCAGTGGGGTTATGTGCCTTGAGAAACTCTTTCCTCCTCCGCAATAGCTGAATTCATATAAAATGTAAAAGTTAGTTTCCTTTACCTTTTTTAAGTACCCCCCCCCAACCCCCAGCCCCCAACCCCCAACCCCCACCCCACACACACACACACTCACTCACACACACACACGCACCACCACCACCAAACACACACACATCA